TTAAACCAGTGCTTCTTTGTGCAGTTATCAGGAAGAAGTTCTTTTAAAGACTTGTCTTTTACTTGAATATTGTAGTAACTCTGTCCATTTAACCCACATCCCCAGCCAACATCCTTCACCTTAATTACTTTATTATCAAACGTGGCTAGAATTGCAAGGAAATCATACTCATCTGGCTCTAATATCTTAGTTCCATCATAGTAGCTTCCTCTACGTACAATCTCATTCACTATCAAGGCTGGATTCTTTATACCAACATTTTTGCAGACGGTTTGAACCAGTTTTTCGACGTATAATGTTTGGAGTTCGAGTTCTTCAGGAGTGTATCTATTCCTTATATCAACATGATGTGAGACATATTTCACAAAGTCTGTTAATCTCTGTATTTCATCTGTTGAAGTGTTGGTTATGGGGTGTGTTGAAGAATTGACAGAGGATACTTTAGAAGGAGTAGTGTGCTTGCCTAAAGGATAAGGTCCAATCAACTGTGGTATTGCATCTATTGTTTGGTTTATTGTTGTTTGTTTTGACGTTGCGTTTCCCATTGTAATACAAGGATATGTTTCGTCTGTTGCTTGAAGAAGTCTTTGACTGAGAATATTCTTGAGTTGTAAGTTATACTTGCCCAAAGCATATGATTCAGTAGATTTCCAGAGTCATTCGTTACATATTTGCCATTTATATTTTTCTACATTCAATTGAATAAGGAAACATCTTCATCCTTCACTTTAACATACAGTATTGCAGCCTATTCAACCTAAGAGTGTGTTTTATGACAAAATAAATAAACTTGACATTTGTTCTTTTCGATTTTAAGTCGTATTGAAGGCCCTAAAAGAAAATGTCAATGGTGGTCATGTTTTAAATACAAAAATGAGTGGAAAATGAGTGCAATCTTCATAAAATAAATTTTATGGACCTGTGCTAAAAGTGAACATTCAAAATTATATAAAATAGTAGAAAGCTATTGTCCTCTGTTTGCGAAGATTTCTTTATTCAGATAATGATATAAGTAATTCAAGTATGTACATCTGGGGATTTGTATGAATCACTTTTTTTCTAAGTTGGAAAAGTCAAGTGTTTTATTTTTTTTTATTTTTTTTTTATTAAAATCAATGTAACATATTTACAGGTTGTAGTGGCTATGACCCCCAAGAGGGAGTATTAGGTGCCACATAATGGTATTTACAATGATTTGTGAAATATTATGAGAAGTGTACATGTAATTGTGTAAAGTATGATATTGTACATAATTGAGAAAATAAACTGATTTAATGGAAATGATTAAAGGTCTCTTCTACAATAACAGGTGCAAGCAGTAAAAATGTGTAAAGAAATAGTACAAATTTCAATATTACATTATTAAATAGTATAACATGATAGCATCTGATGAGATTGTACAGTAGTTCAAGGAACTACTCCTCCAAGTATAGATTGCAGTTATAATCTTTAAATGACTTTTTGAGAATAGGGATGCTTTTTGAGGTTTTGATATCAGAGGGTGTTTCATTCCATATAAGGCCACCTTGAACTAAAATACTCTTCTTTCCATAGTTAGTGTTAAATTTGGAGATCATTCACTTGTCGAGTGAAATGATGATGAATGTCCATATTGCATTTATAATAATTACAAAAAAGATCAACTGGAAAATCAATTTTTCTTAAACATTTGAACATGAATATAAGAACATTAAGATGGTAAACATCAACTATCTTTAAGATTTTAAGTTGGGCAAAGAAACCTGATGTATGCTCCCTATTGCTTTTGCATTGCATAGCTATTCTAAGAAATCTTTTCTGCAGTTTTAAAAGTGGTTCTAAAGTTGTTTTACTTGCTGTACCCCATATTGGGATGCAGTATTGCAAATGAGAGTAGATTAGTGAATAATATATTGTCAAAAGAGTTTTTAAACTGAAGAGAGATCTTGTTTTGAAAAGTATTCCCAAGGTTGTGAAATTTTGAGAGAGATCTTTTGTATATGTTCCTTCCAATTTAGATTTTGATCAATGACTACACCAAGAAAGTTTGTTGAAAGAACTCGGTTGATTTTTGAATTTCTAATCTTGATGGACATATCAACAGGAACCTGTTGCTGATTCGTAGAGAATATCATGTAGTTTGTTTTTTCGATATTAAGGGATAATTTATTTGTGCTAAACCATTTGTCAACTGTACATAGCTCATTATTCACTCTATGTGTAAGGGTATTGATGTCTCTATCAGAACAAAGTAAATTTGTATCGTCTGCAAATATGACAGATTTAAATACATAACTGACTGAAATAAGATCATTTATATATATAATAAAAAGGAGAGGACCCAATATCGATCCCTGAGGGACGCCACACATGATTGTATTCAGTTTAGAGCTTTCAAAGTTAAAATATGTAAATTGTTTTCTATTAGTCAAATAGCTTTCAAACCAATTATATGCCTTACCTTTGAATCCATAAAATTTGAGTTTTGAGAGGAGAATAACATGATCAACGGTATCAAAAGCCTTACTAAGATCTAAAAATATTCCAATACTAAATTGTTTAGTATCCATTGCTTTTCTTAAGTTTTCGAGAAAAGTGAGAATAGCTAGACAAGTGGATCTGTTTCTTCTGAAGCCAAATTGTTTTTTACATAAAATTTTGAATTTTTCAATAAAATCAATTGCTCTATTGTACATAATTTTTTCAAATATTGCACATGACAAGAGGCAGGGGAAATGCTTGTTGAGATTAATGGGTTTGAATTGATCTATGATCATAGTTATCACGTTTTGCAAATCCTTAAACAAATTTACTTCTCTCTAATGTAACATATTAAGAGTTTATCTTCTATAGCAACCAATAATGACTAATGTGATACAGTTGACATCATTTTTTCAAATACCCAAATTATTGCAACTGAACTGAACGTTTAAAGTTTAAAATTTAAAATTTTGTAGAGAGATATTTGGGCTATTTGGGATATCTGATAATTGAAGGGGAGAGGGTGTTAGACATTATTTCTTTTCACATTAGATCATGGTTTTTGGATATATGGGGTCTGTTTTTGTTGTGGCAGGTTTAAACTTGGAGTTTGCTTTTCTTGCCAGGTTCTTTGCAGTTTTTGGTCATTTCTCTTTGGCAATTGTGCATAGATATGCTACTTTTTATTCTTAATAGCAACATAGCCTTTGAGTTGAACAAGACACAAAAATATATTTGATTACTTGTACAGATATTATAATATCTTTGTATTGTTTCATTGTTGTTTTGGTGTGGCTTGTGTCATGTCATCATACGTTTGATGTTGTACTTTGTTCTTTGAATACTGAAATAGACATTCGATATTAGACTTTAAGATCCATAACATTTTGTAAAACTTTGTTGAGTCCTTGTTTGTAAATATCTATTGCATGCCACAACTTGCAATTTCTCAATAGAATTTGACAAGTTATCCTGCCTTTCCAAAAAAAGAGCACAATTTAAGGGAGAAAATAGGAATGACATTGAGAAAATAACATGCAAAGTCACAATTGAATTATTTTAGAAAAAAAGTAAATACCAATTCACAACCCACGAAGATGAATCCTATTGGGGATTTTTCAGCTATGTGGAAAGTTTAAGTGATACTATCAATAGCTCATAGTATTGCTTTTTTTTGGTTACTGCCATATTTTGACGAGCAAAACCTCTTTGGTATATTTATGTATATTAAATATATTCACTCAAAGAGAGTGCCAGAAACCCTTCTTGCTGAGCTAAAAATTGACTGACTAAAAATTTCTCGTCCACAATGGTTGATCTGTATCTCCAGTATCAGAAATATGACTTGATCCCCATAGTGCACAAATTTCCGATCCAACCACATGCAGGCCAGTAGCCAGGGGGGCTCGATGGGTTCGACTACGTAGCATTGGTGCTAAGTTTAGACAACAGCGCCTAAGTAGAATGAATCGGCCACAATGCATTGAGTCTTGGGCTTAAATTCTTTTCACACATTGCGAAAGATTTTATACAATGTATCACTTAAAAGATATAAAAACATTTAAAATAATATATTTTCAAGGAATCTTTTTGCAAGGGTCATGTTGTCAACACATCAATTTCACTTTTTACAAGTACATGTAGATGGTTGTTTCGAAAATGACCTTTGGTACATTAGACTGGTATAATGCAATGCAGTTATATGAAATACTGTGTTCTGATTGGCTGTTATGTATGTATAAGTATTATATCATCACTAGATATCACTAGAAAAACTGAAATTATATTTAACAGGTTAAAAGTGGACCTATTTTTAAAGAGTCAATTATTTGCTCATAATTTTACAAACATTGACTCCCCAGCCTGTAACTGTGGTCATGATAATGAAACCCCTACTAATTTTTTCCTCAAATCCCCTCAACTTGTAGATGAGAGAATCCAACTACTTAAAGATCTCCATATTATTGGTTGTTTAGAAAGTTTCTTAGGTGCTATTACTCTGTTAGCAAAGTAAATATGCTTTTGCATGGTAACACTGAACTTAGCAATGAAGTTAATACACTTCTTCTGAAAGCAACTTTAAAATTCCTAAAAGCAACCAAGATTGACTAACATGTATATTACACCACCCCATAATTTACACCACTGCACACCTTTTTTTGTAAAGCATTCAATTACCAGCCTTTATTGTGTTTTTTCCTTTCTGTTTATATATGAACAGTTACGAATAATTGTAACAAATTTGTATTTGTATTGCATATTAGTGTATGGTATATTTACTTCAGAAGTTCAACACAAATGTTAAATTGATTAACCTTGTTGAATTTGCATTGTATGATATTAAATGTTATAATATATGAACTTAAAATAAAAATGATTAATAAAAAAAATAATAAAATGACGTTAAATGTTAATAAGGTACTTTCAAAATATACTAAACAATTCAAGTAGACACACAGAGTATCTTATGCATTTCTAGGAGTTAGGTATAGTAGAGTGGGAATAGAGTGATGCTTTACACATAATTCCTTTCTTTCGAGGCATTCTTAGTACAAGTGGACAGTTATCATTATGGGAAAACAGTGATAGCTCCATTGAACATAGTTCTCTACAATGTCTTTAGTGAACATGGCCCTAATATATTTCTTTGTTTTTAGGCATTTCTAGTACAAGTGGACAGTTATCATTATGGGAAAACTGTGATAGCTCCATTGAACATAGTTCTCTACAATGTCTTTAGTGAACATGGTCCAAATATATATGGTAAGTACATTTTTAGGCAGTCACTTACTTCCCAGAAATTGGTTTCCATTTATTTTAGATGACTGAATTTATATTTTAACTCATTTACTTAACTACAGTTGCTTGAATTATGGTTCTGGATAACTTTTTGAGAAAAATACAGTATTTGAAAATGATTTTGGTCTCTCTTTTTCAAAGTTCAGCAATTATTTAGCTCACAGAATAGATTCATTATATTGGTATAACATTGATAGATACTGCTGTTTATAATGGTTACCAAAATTCAAAATTCAAAAGATTAAAAAATTCAGATATCAAAGACTCAAAACACAAGAATTAATTGCTTAGAATTGTAGTAATTAAATTGTACCAATAACTCTGAATTTTCTCATTTCAGGGGTAGAGCCATGGTATTTCTACTTTATCAATGGCTTCCTTAACTTTAATATTATCTTCTTCATGGCGCTTGTAGTGCTACCTTTTTCAGTAAGTTAAACTTTATATTATCACCATTGGCTTGATAAGAAGGATCGGTTTTTAATTTTCAAGGTTGTTTCTGAGTATGGAAATCTTGAACTGATTATATTTTGGACTTACTACTTATTTGAAAATTTAATCTTGGAACTGGATGATTTTATATTTAGACTAATTTTGTCATTGTTGGTTTATCTATCTGATATATTAAATAAATAAACTGCATTGACAACCACGATAGAACTTATAACAAAAATATTTTTAGAATGTATGTTTCAATGTATTTTACTTCTAATCATTTTAGCTTATGGTCAGAGCAATAACCCAACATAAAACAGGAGAAAGTAAGTACATGTAGAATACATTCTTCAAAAGTCAAAACCAACAGTTTCCAAATCACACCTGTCCTGTTATCTACACAAATACTATTTTCAATAGTTATTATATTTTATAAAAATTGTTTACGTTTAGGCCTATTATAAAGCTTCTGTTCATTTTGGACCAACATGTTTCTTTTCTTACTGTTTATTTATGCTTATACAGGGTGTCCCAAAAAGGTAACGGATATTTAATTGCTTCTTTCTCAAATATGAATAATAATAGGAAAATTTTATGATGTCCTCTTTCTTATGATAATCTCGGTTTCCGGTTTCTCGGACACCCTGTATTGATATGCAATAATATTTAAGGGTCATATATATGACAGTACATGTATTGTATAGTTCTGTGATTTTAGATTTCAGATATACTATGGATCGTAACTAAGGGAATTATTCACAATGTCACTCAAACAATATGGCACCTAAATTTGTCAAATATTACATAAAACTTACTTTTTCTCCCTTTTCAGGTAAGCCTCTATGGTTATCTACTAGTGCCTTGTATATATGGGTCCTGATATTCTTCACAAGACCTCACAAAGAGGAGAGGTTCTTATTTCCCATCTACCCCTTGATTTGTCTATGTGGAGCAGTTACATTAGAACATATACAGGTAAATAAGAGAGGTCCTTATTTCCCATCTACCCTTGATTTCTCTGTGAGGGGCAGTTAGAACATATACAGGTAAACAAAAGAGGTATTAATAAATCCCATCTCTCAATTGATTTTTCTGTATTTCCCATCTACCCCTTGATTTTTCTGAAGAACAGTTTCATTCAAGCATATACAGGGAAATGAATAAGGGAGGTACTTATTTCCCACCTACCCCTTGATTTGTTTGTGTGGAGCAGTAACATTAGAACATATACAGGTAAATAAGAGAGGTACTTATTTCCCATCTACCCCTTTGATTTCTCTGTGAGGAGCAGTTAGATTAGAACACATACATGTAAACGAAAGTGGTTCTTATTTCCCATCTACCCCTTGATTTGTTTAAGTGGAGCAGTTACATTAGAGGTGCTCGTTTCCCATCTACTTTCTATTGAAGTTCTATGATAAAGTGTGTGCTTTGAAGTGAAAAATGTCACATCCAGGTGCTCATAATCATTCATTATTTAATTTATACAAACCATACCAAGTAGGTTTCTCTCACAAAACTCTCTTCAACTATGTTACTCTGATAATGACACCTAAGAAACCCAGCCATACACCATCTTAATACAGTCTGTAATTTGTAGTTCTTCCTTTTCCAGTATATGTGGTCTTACCTCAGCAATAAGAAACCCAGCCATATCTCTGGTCTACAACTAAGTAGTGGCTCAATGTGGTTAGCAGGATTGTGTATCATAGGGTCATCTGTACTGTCAGCTGCCAGAGTGGGAGCTATTTATAATGGTATGTACACTATATCTGTAGCCTATATAGCAATTGTTTTTAATACATGCTTGTAAATGTGAAACATTTCTACTGGATTCAACATGTATTTATTTAATTGTGTCACCACCAGGAGTGATGACATATTGTTAAAGTCTCCAACTTTTTTTTGACGGCGGTCAGCATCTGTAACAAATGGCAGGTTGTGAAAATATGCATGTTGATGCCTTGTTTTGTGTATGTGATGTCATAAGTGCTGTGATGATAAAGGTTCATTATTTTCCAGGTTATTCTGCACCTCTTAACATCTACCTTGATCTAAATAGGGCTGCCAATGACCCTGCTGTTCATACACTTCCCATGGGAAGACTGTCAATGTGTGTGTGGGCAAGGAATGGTACAGATTCTATAGTTTGTTATTTTCTAGGCTACTCTGCCCCTCTTAACATCTACCTAGATCTAAATAGGGCTGCCAATGACCCTGCTGTTCAAACGCTTCCCCATGGGAAGACTGTCAATGTATGTGTGGGCAAGGAATGGTTCAGATTCTATTGTATGTTTTGGTTATTTTCCAGGCTACTCTGCCCCCCTTAACATCTACCTTGATCTAAATAGGGCCGCCAATGACCCTGCTGTACATACACTTCCCCATGGGAAGACTGTCAATGTGTGTGTAGGCAAGGAATGGTACAGATTCTATAGTATGTTATGGTTATTTTCCAGGCTATTCTGCACCTCTTAACATCTACCTTGATCTAAATAGGGCTGCCAATGACCCTGCTGTTCATACGCTTCCCCATGGGAAGACTGTCAATGTATGTGTGGGCAAGGAATGGTGCAGATTCTATTGTATGTTTTGGTTATTTTCCAGGCTACTCTGCCCCTCTTAACATCTACCTTGATCTAAATAGGGCTGCCAATGACCCTGCTGTTCATACACTTCCCCATGGGAAGACTGTCAATGTATGTGTGGGCAAGGAATGGTACAGATTCTATAGTATGTTATGGTTATTTTCCAGGTTATTCTGCACCTCTTAACATCTACCTTGATCTAAATAGGGCTGCCAATGACCCTGCTGTTCATACGCTTCCCCATGGGAAGACTGTCAATGTCTGTGTAGGCAAGGAATGGTACAGATTCTATAGTATGTTTTGGTTATTTTCCAGGTTATTCTGCACCTCTTAACATCTACCTTGATCTAAATAGGGCTGCCAATGACCCTGCTGTTCATACACTTCCCCATGGGAAGACTGCCAAAGTGTGTGTAGGCAAGGAATGGTACAGATTCTATAGTATGTTATGGTTATTTTCCAGGCTATTCTGCACCTCTTAACATCTACCTTGATCTAAATAGGGCTGCCAATGACCCTGCTATTCATATGCTTCCCCATGGGAAGACTGTCAATGTGTGTGTAGGCAAGGAATGGTACAGATTCTATAGTATGTTATGGTTATTTTCCAGGCTAGTCTGCACCTCTTAACATCTACCTTGATCTAAATAGGGCTGCCAATGACCCTGCTGTTCATACACTTCCCCATGGGAAGACTGTCAATGTATGTGTAGGCAAGGAATGGTACAGATTCTATAGTATGTTTTGGTTATTTTCCAGGCTACTCTGCCCCTCTTAACATCTACCTTGATCTAAATAGGGCTGCCAATGACCCTGCTGTTCATACGCTTCCCCATGGGAAGACTGTCAATGTATGTGTGGGCAAGGAATGGTACAGATTCTATAGTATGTTTTGGTTATTTTCCAGGCTACTCTGCCCCTCTTAACATATACCTTGATCTAAATAGGGCTGCCAATGACCCTGCTGTTCATACACTTCCCCATGGGAAGACTGTCAATGTATGTGTGGGCAAGGAATGGTTCAGATTCTATTGTATGTTTTGGTTATTTTCCAGGCTACTCTGCCCCTCTTAACATCTACCTTGATCTAAATAGGGCTGCCAATGACCCTGCTGTTCATACGCTTCCCCATGGGAAGACTGTCAATGTCTGTGTAGGCAAGGAATGGTACAGATTCTATAGTATGTTATGGTTATTTTCCAGGTTATTCTGCACCTCTTAACATCTACCTTGATCTAAATAGGGCTGCCAATGACCCAGCTGTTCATACACTTCCCCATGGGAAGACTGTCAATGTATGTGTGGGCAAGGAATGGTACAGATTCTATAGCAACTTCTTCCTTCCTGATGAGCAGTAAGTGCCTTTTGAGGAAATTTTCATATTAATTTGATCATGTTTAAAAATACAGGGTATCCAACTATCCATAAAGCTTAAAGTCTCTGTACATTTACAATACAAAGTCGGTAGGGTTAAGAGACTTGATGTACACCCTGTATTATAATGGAAATGTTTATTGAATAGAATTAGCAGGGAATAAATAGGCATATACAGCCTGATTTTTAGAGAAAGCCATAATATCAAGAAATCACTCTGATTATGAAGTGCAAAAAAGAGTGAAATCAGCAAGAAATAAAGTAAACAGACATGTAGTTAACACTCTAAATTGTATAGAAATGCAAGAAAATCAGACACTTCATTCAAATTTTGAAGAGAAATGAGAGGAATTAGCAAGGAATAAAGTAAACAGGCATGTAGTCAAAACTCTAAATTGTATAGAAATGCAAGAAAATCAGACACTTCATTCAAATTATTGAGAGAAATGAGTGGAATCAGCAAGGAATAAAGTAAACAGGCATGTAGTCAAAACTCTAAATTGTATAGAAATGCAAGAAAATCAGACATTTCATTCAAATTATTGAGAGAAATGAGTGGAATCAGCAAGGAATAAAGTAAACAGGCATGTAGTCAAAACTCTAAATTGTATAGAAATGCAAGAAAATCAGACACTTCATTCAAATTATTGAGAGAAATGAGTGGAATCAGCAAGGAATAAAGTAAACAGGCATGTAGTCAAAACTCTAAATTGTATAGAAATGCAAGAAAATCAGACACTTCATTCAAATTATTGAGAGAAATGAGTGGAATCAGGAAGGAATAAAGTAAACAAGCATGTAGTCAAAACTCTAAATTGTATAAGTGCAAGAAAATCAGACACTTCATTCAAATTATTGAGAGAAATGAGTGGAATCAGGAAGGAATAAAGTAAACAAGCATGTAGTCAAAACTCTAAATTGTATAGAAATGCAAGAAAATCAGACACTTCATTCAAATTTTATAGAGAAAAGACTGGAACCAGCAAGGAATAAAGCAAACAGACATGTAGTCAACACTCTAAATTATATAAAGTCAGAAAACATTGTTCATTCAATACAAGTTTCAGAAATATATTTGGTGAAATCAAACAAGCAGACAGTCACGTCACACAGGCCCATAGCCAGGGGGTTTGGGGAAATCAGTCTTAAATCATGCAGTTTTTTACCATTTTGAACACTTTTTGTGTGAAATTTATCAAAAACAGAACCCCCATTGGTGAAATCTGACTTTTAATTCAGACTAGAGACACTGAACGAGAGAAACACTAGCTACTAGAGATGTCTCTAGAAAATTTTGGTGAGGGTACAAACCTGACTTGTATATTTCATCAGGAAGAGTCTGAAGGATTTGACTGAAATGTTGTTCAGGTTGATTTTGTAAATAAATAAATTACTAAAAGAAATATTTAAAGACCTCTTTTTTATATTTTCAGCTGGCAGATGCATTTCCTTCAGTCAGAGTTCAAAGGTCAACTACCCAGCAAGTATGGACCCGGAAATAATGCAACGTCCATAATACCAACCCATATGAATGATAAAAATACAGAGGAAACTTCAAGATATGTAAGTCTCAGTAAAATTATTATTATGTGTCTTAGTAGGAGAGCTCTGATGTTTTAAAACCTTTGGAATAGAATAATTTTCTGTGTTTGGAATTTGTTCATTTTCCTTTATTATTGCACTTAAAAGAGCTGAAAGCTAAATTTTAATCCCAGATATTAAGATGCTATAAAACACAAATCAACTGGGAGCCCATAGCCATAACCATGGCCCAGGAGGGGGTGTGGTGACTTCTAAAAATAGAATTATTAGAAGAAGAAAATACCTTTTAGAAAATGCTTCTATTTAAAGCTTCTAGCTCAGTTTTGAAGGAAGTTGCACCAGTTATTGTAAAATTCAAAACAAATCTTCAATTTTTGTGGTTCCCAATGCCAAGTTGCACCTCCTTGACCAAAAACCAATTTATTTTGGTGATCACACATCCCCTCGCTGAAAGCTGGCTACGCCTCTGGAGCCTAATAGTTCTCTAGCTTATTCCTTTAAAACCCAGACCTATGACTACAGTATAAGGTAGGCTTTAAATTAAGGTCCTTTACTACGTTATTATATCATTGTTGTATTCCAGTTTGAAGTGAACAAGTGCCATTATTTGATAGATGTTGACTTAGGGAGTTACACAGACTTAGAGCCACAGTATAGTGCACAACCAGAATGGCAGGTCCTTAGTTCAAGTCCATTCCTACATGTTATATTGTTGTATTCCAGTTTGAAGTGAACAAGTGCCATTATTTGATAGATGTTGACTTAGGGAGTTACACAGACTTAGAGCCACAGTATAGTGCACAACCAGAGTGGCAGGTCCTAAGTTCATGTCCATTCCTACATGTTATATTGTTGTATTCCAGTTTGAAGTGAACAAGTGCCATTATTTGATAGATGTTGACTTAGGGAGTTACACTGACTTAGAGCCACAGTATAGTGCACAACCAGAATGGCATGTCCTAAGTTCAAGTCCATTCCTACATGTTATATTGTTGTATTTCAGTTTGAAGTGAACAAGTGCCATTATTTGATAGATGTTGACTTAGGGAGTTACACAGACTTAAAGCCACAGTATAGTGTACAACCAGAATGGCAGGTCCTAAGTTCAAGTCCATTTTTACATGTTATATTATTGTATTCCAGTTTGAAGTGAACAAGTGCCATTATTTGATAGATGTTGACTTAGGGAGTTACACAGACTTAGAGCCACAGTATAGTGCACAACCAGAATGGCATGTCCTAAGTTCAAGTCCATTCCTACATGTTATATTGTTGTATTCCAGTTTGAAGTGAACAAGTGCCATTATTTGATAGATGTTGACTTAGGGAGTTACACAGACTTAGAGCCACAGTATAGTGCACAACCAGAATGGCAGGTCCTAAGTTCAAGTCCATTCCTACATGTTATATTATTGTATTTCAGTTTGAAGTGAATAAGTGCCATTATTTGATAGATGTTGACTTAGGGAGTTACACAGACTTAGAGCCACAGTATAGTGCACAACCAGAGTGGCAGGTCCTAAGTTCAAGTCCATTCCTACATGTTATATTGTTGTATTCCAGTTTGAAGTGAATAAGTGCCATTATTTGATAGATATTGACTTAGGGAGTTACACAGACCTAGAGCCACAGTATAGTGCACAACCAGAATGGCAGGTCCTCAGTTCAAGTCCATTCCTACATGTTATATTGTTGTATTCCAGTTTGAAGTGAATAAGTGCCATTATTTGATAGATGTTGACTTAGGGAGTTACACAGACCTAGAGCCACAGTATAGTGCACAACCAGAATGGCAGGTCCTAAGTTCAAGTCCATTCCTACATGCTTCCAAGTAAGTTTCATCCTTGCTATAATTCAAAATCTACCTCTTTCAAGTCTTATCAATTGATGTGGTCTCTCCAGGATTTTTCATGGAGTTGAAATTGAAAAAGTGTTGACATTCAAAAAATAAATGTATTGAAAAAAGCTATTTGATTGTATACTATACAATACATATATTAATTATTAAAAGCAGCCCTGATTCTTTGGCTTTACATGTAAAAAGAAAATAGAATTAAACTTATTTATACGAATTTCGGGTGAATTTAGATTATTCTCGTTCAAAAAAATGAGTGATGTTGGTATTTTTATTGAATGATCTCTTTTCTTCTATTTTACAAAATGAAATTAATAACAGGATGAATATTTCCACTCCATTCCACACAGTGAGACTAATATTAAAAATGTTATATTTTCAGATCTCACCCATTACTCCAATATTTCCACTCATACAGTGAGACTAATATCAAAAACGTTATATTTTTCAGATCTCACCCATTACTCCGTGCCTTCTACATTCCTATACTCTCAGACATGTATTCTACATATGGACAATATCACTTATTGAAAACTACAAGGACTAAAAAAACAAAAAACAACCAATCATAAAAAATATCTCAAATCTCCAAGAGCTTCATCCATTGTGATTTACCTTCTTTGCCTCTACTATTTCGGTCTCATGGATTTGGACAACATTATACTTCATTATACTTCATTATACTAATGTTACTGTAAGAAAATACATACAATGGAACATAAACTTCTAACACCTGTAAAGTAGAACAACTCTAGAAGTGGAACACCTCTCTAAGTGGAACACTTCTAACACCTGTAAAGTGGAACACCTCTAGAAGTGGAGTGCCTGTGTTAGTGGAACACTTCTAACAGCTGTCAAGTGGAACACCTCTAGAAGTGGAACACCTCTGTAAGTGGAACACTTCTAACAGCTGTAAAGTGGAACACCTCTAGAAGTGGAACACCTCTGTAAGTGGAACACTTCTAACAGCTGTAAAGTGGAACGCCTCTAGAAGTGGAACACATCTGTAAGTGGAACACTAACAGCTGTAAAGTGGAACACCTCTGTAAGTGGAACACTTCTAACAGCTGTAAGTGGAACACCTCTAGAAGTGGAACACTTCTAACAGCTGTAAAGTGGAACAGCTCTAGAAGTGGAACACCTGTGTTAGTGGAACTAACAACAGAATGTAAAACTGTTAATAAGAGTTATAGTGAACCTAACTTATAGTATTCTCAATTGTTTAATATAAGACACGACTGAAGAGAATTTGACTATTTTGTTAGTTAGTATTTTATTAATGCCGTGGTCACATTTACTCCGATTTTTACTACAGCGCCCGGCCCGGCCTGGATTGAGTATTTTGATCAAAAATGTATTCAACTCATTGGCCAGGTGCCAGTGCTGAAAATAGGAGCAAATGTGACCACGGCATTACCTCTAGACACTTGGAAAAATTTCATAAAAATAATGGAAAGGACTTATTTGATGTTCTTTTCTTTGAATCCTGGGAAGCCAATATCATCATAATATCATGTTCACAATCAGAACAGGTTAAACTGGTTACATAACTCATTGCTGTTTAACCTCTTGACTACCTGGAGTGACGAGATGTCATCTCAGAAATGATCTTGAAACCCAGAGTGTTGAGAAAATCCGTCACAAAAATTAACCTGTTTAACCTCTTGACTACCTGGAGTGACGAGATGTCATCTCAGAAATGATCTTGAAACCCGCAGTGTTGAGAAAATCCATCACAAAAATGTTCACTTAAATTGCACTTATTTGAACAATTTTCAACCAATTTACACGAAAATTGTTTTGAAATGTGTAGAAATGATATCTGCCATCTAATTGTACTAAGATGAGCTGTGTATGCATCTAAAGTTATAAAGGTATGTAGTAAAATCTGAAAAGATGGCAAAAATGAAAAATTCTCTGGTTTCAACCGATTTTAGATCCTGGGATTCAAGAGGTTAAAATCCATAACCAAGAAGGCATTGAATCATATCCTGACTTTTCCATAAGTAGGTAAGTGTTACTTCATCCTGTTCAATTACTCAGATGCGAGTAGGTAGTTACCAGTTTTGCCACCAGGTGGCTGATTCAGGGGAAATAACATGGCAGGGTATTACTATATCAGGGCAATTAGAACACAGTATAACAAACACACCAAGTTTACACACCGAGTTTCATAAAGCATTACATTTAAAACCCATAGCTGGTTCAGTTTGAGATGTGATGTTTTTCAGTTTTTTCCCAGGAAATTTACAGTTAAAAGTATAGATGGCTGAGTTAATTGAGTTATCAGCTATTTTATTAGTGGTAATTAGTGGTAATTTAAGCTGCCCGAGGGCCCATGAATTACCTCCTGCAAAAATTACCTATCTTGTGAAAATGAATTTCAGATATGGTTGAATTACAGTGGTTTACTTCTGACATGTTTAAACTTACTATTTTGTTGAGGGGAACATAATTTGTACGAATATTATATTTTCTAGGATAAAATCCAATAATATACTTGATGGAAAAACTTCAAAACTCAATTATTGTGAATGGTATGGTGTAAATTAATGTTTTGCAATAGGAAGCAATCGCCACAATAGGAAGCAATTGCCACCATAAACAATTTATTTGTAAGTGGTTCTGTGCTTAATATGAAATCTACATGACTTTTAAATAAAATTATTTGAGTCTCTTTTATGCCAAAAGAATAACAAATAGCATACATAATGTACTTCTCTCAATATTGTATAGTTGTACAAGGAAAGTCAGGTTGATTTTTTAACAGAAGTATCTAAAGAGATAAATGCCCCCAAAAAATAAAAGAACTAAAGTTATTCTTTTATTTTATCTTTTTAATCACGAGTAATCACCCTGTGATTTTCCTAGGATAGGTACATAATGAGAAAATCAAGTACAATGTGTATCTGTCATTTTGCACGAGGGTTGGTTAATTAGATGTTTCATCTCGTTCCAAAGAATTTGTATAAAAGAACAAAGAGAAATCAAACAAGTATGGTACATCTTCCTAATTTGGCGCTACTTATTTTTGAGGATTAGCTATTTTGAACATTTGGCGGCGACTAATTTTGCGGACATAAAAATTTGGCATATAAAAAAAAATTCAAATTAAATTGTTGCCATTAATGACTTACATTGAGGATGTATATTTTTCCGACTTTTTTGAAAATTGGTTTAAAGAAAGTGTAAATTCCTGTTCACCAAATCATAACCAGTCCTTTAAATAGGGTTTGTGGTCCAATTGAAAATGAGGTTTCATATTCGATGATCTGGATAGGATATTCAATGGGCATCGAACAAGGTAATTTATTCACAGATGTGTAAAATATGATCCCTTCTTGACATTAAGATAAATCAAACCAAATAAATTTTGTGCAAAATTTAATTTATTCATAATTTATAAAAAGATGATCCTTTTTCAAACATAACAGCACAATTTAACATTTTAAAATACATTATTCAACAGAATATCAATATCCATAATATAACAATACAACATTCAACATACAGAAAACCTGTATAAATTTTCATCATTGTCATAAATGTCATGAATGTCAATGTCATGGAACTGACAAGTTCTAAAATTTACAAACAGTTATTACAACAAATATTTACATATAACTTCATGGGGTAAATAATAAATACATAATTCTGTAAATATATTCCCTAACTCAAGAACAGATATAATATAACTGTATAAGCAAACATGGTAAAATCTGAATACATATCTTTGACTAGATGTCATCATAATTTAATACGAATTCTTTATTTACAAAAGTAGCAAACATTTACATACAACTTCACAATTAGTGAATACATAATTCAATTAATGTACAATGAACGATAAACAGACATGATCAAAACAATAAATCTCAAGATTTGAAATATTATATACACCATCTTCGTTCGCTTGGCTCCTGACTGAACACAGTAAAGACCGAGTGTGAGAAGATGTATATACACAGAGTGACCTACAGTAAGAACAAAAATTCCCAAAAATTGACTCATTTTTGGGTCACCCTGTACATGTATATTGTTCAATAAATTTATGAACTTAATCATTTCAGTATTGACCGGTACATAATAGAATACATCTGATACACACAGGTGTTCAAATATTCATTTGTAAAAAACAGTGAATTCATTTTTGCTATGAAAATAAGTTGACATGATTGACCCATGCTTTTAAATCATTATCATTTAGCTAAAATGGGAGTCATATATTACACTAGTATTGATCAGTTGTAGTGTTACAGTTGTAGTGTATTGAACAGTTGTAGTGTTACAGTTGTAGTGTATTGAACAGTTGTAGTGTTACAGTTGTAGTGTATTGAACAGTTGTAGTTACAGTTGTAGTGTATTGAACAGTTGTAGTGTATTGAACAGTTGTAGAGTTACAGTTGTAGTGTATTGAACAGTTGTAGTGTTACAGTTGTAGTGTATTGAACAGTTGTAGTGTTACAGTTGTAGTGTATTGATAGGTTGTTATAGTATATTGAACATTAGTTCCCCTTTGTCAGGAGTATGTCCTCATTAACTACTATAATGCTACATATCGGTAGATTGTGAGATGTCTAGAAAGTCTTTAGCCATTTGGAAAGTTCCTTCACATACATATTGCTTGTATTTTTCATGCATAGTCCTCTAGGCTAAACTGTTGATGGAATTGTCTGAGTTTTCATCAGTCCATTCGTCTCCCTTGGTCAGGAATATATCCTCATAGCTTTCCTCCTGAACTGCATAAATCTTCTGTTTACCACATACATCTGCAAATATTATAGGTTTCTAAATGTAATGAAAAGGTTTCTTAATATCATTGAGGTCTCTAAATATCTTGGAATAAACAGCATCTTTTAAAACAACCTGGAAGGAATATGTAAATAAAGAATACTCTTAAATTTGTAGTTATTTTTTACCAAAATTCCAAACAATGTAGTCTATAGCCATTTAATGGTTAAACCAACTTAGCACTTTATGGGTTAAGATATTACGAATGTTTTGCGAGTTCAGTGAAGGTTTCTAAGGGGAATGTAACAAACCAACACTGGAAAGACCCTTAAAACTACAGATTTGCAGGCCTGTAGCCAGGTTTTGCCAAGGGGGTCACTTTTTAAAAAATTCTAGGGGGGGTTCACATTTGGCAACTTTGGCCCAAAATGGTGAAAAATGCATGATTATTAAAGAATTTTTCGACGGGGGTTCACTCGAACCTAAGGGACCCTCCCTGGCTACAGGCTTGTTTGTGTGTTGTACAAGAGGAAACATTGGGTAATAATCTAGCGTATCTTGAACTATATATTTACCTAGTAATGCAGAGAAGAATCTAGCAGCTTCAGACCTTGATGTTGTGACATTGGGAAACATCAGGTGAAATGTTGTCCATTCTTCGTTCACAGTCAGTGTCGCCAGTTTTCTAAGTACATGTAAGAATACATTGATAGATTGGGGGACTTGTGAGAACAAGGTCACGCAATTGTCACATTTTAAATGATTTAACATGGTGAAGAGTCATATCAATAGAAATAAAATAAACAAAAACATCTACAATAGTCTACAATAGGCCTACTGTAAAAAAAATATAAAAAATCGTTCAGATTTAATATTGCAAGCAATTTAAATTCTGTCTTTATCATATTTCATGAAAGCTGTTATGAATATAATTGGATAAAAAGCTTTTTTACAGGCAGGAAGGGATTGAATGTGGGTTTATTCCTCGTGACAGGATAATTGTCCCTCAAAATAAAACTCATATTCAATCCCTCCCAGTAAATAACCTCTTTTATTGGATAATAATTACAAAAGATTGAAGTAAGACTATATACAATTGTTGAACTCTCCAGAGGTCAACCGGCAAAATTGTATACCGAGACTGTAAACCGAGAAATTACTGTTGACAGAGACCAAAGGTCGAAGTCAACAGTAGTTTCAAGAGGAATGGCATGGCTTCATTTCACAATCTTTTCTCCGAACCACGCCAGCAATGCATACTCATTAGTAAATTAATGTAAAGTATACGTTTCTATTTGTATTTTTGCTATACTTGTCGTCTCGTAAAGTCAAAATATCACTTTCATCAACGTTTAGTCAGTCTACCATGTTTTTTCTTTAAACAATATGACATAATAAAACTTATTTTTCAAAAGTAGCAGTCAACAGTACCTAGTAGCGGTCAACAGTACATATTGTTGACCGCTAATCAACCAATCAGAATCGAGTATTTCAGTTGAGGTACTAACAATATGTATAGTCTCACCTGAGGAGTAATTGATGATCTGCCACTGAGCTTATAACTTGATGTTTCTCTAGGCTCACTATGGGAGCATCTAAGCCATGGGGGCTCACAATGGGGGCCACTCTCCCTGGGGGGCTCACAATGGGGATTTCTTGCTCTTCTAAGACAGTTGGAAGTAGTTCATCTATTTGGTCACCAGAGGGCAGCTCTAGTTGAATGGCTTCCAAATCAGGACGTGATTTATCGATGGAGTCTGTTCTGCGACGCTTGGTCTTTGGTTCAGAAGATCTAGATTCAAGAACAAGAAAAATCAGTTCTTGAATTTCAAGAGATTTCATATCAAAATATGTTAAAGAGTCTGTCCAGAAAACTGAGCTTCTGTAAACTGGCTGTAAACTGACTCAGGCTTTGTTAAAACTGGTATACAAGGCATTAATATGCTAAATGTCACCACCTGCCATTTGTTACAGAAACCAACCACCAAATATTGAACAAAAACTGCCGAACACCATCCACAAAAAGTAGGAGACCTATAACCATATGTCATAATTTGTGGCAGTGGCATAAAAACGGTGTGCCTTTCATACTTCTTTACACTTCTATCACTAAGTGCACAAAAACGAACATTTTGTACGAGCTAAAATCACTTTCATGAATCTAAAAATTCTCATTGCAGTTCTTTAATATATCAAACTTTTAAATGGATAACAAAACTTCTAGATTAACCACAAATTTGACATACTGTTTACTACTTAGCCCACTTGCATCCTTGCTTAGAGCACTTGCGTCCTTAGATTCAGACAATAAGCTATGGATGGAGTCTCCGAGTTGCCTACTTTGTTCCTCGGGTGGAAGGTCTCTTTGTTGTTCTACGTTAGAGATATCAACTCCAGTCAAATCACCCCGTCTCTCCAACTCTATTTCCTATATAACACAGCAATACATGATAGATTCAAGATTTTATTGTGTTTCAAGCCAAAACAGTTGACTTCCTCACAAAATTAATTTCATGACAACAATAATACAGTTATACAGTAAAATGCGTCATAAACAAATAGTTAAATATGACTATCATACAAACTAGTTTATTCCTTTTTCTAAAATCATGATATCAATTCTACAGACCTGAAACCCTTGTCCAACTGAATTGTAAAAGCATGGGCTTTCAAGAGTTATACAAGGTGACACGAATATGCCATCAACCCACATAATTTTTGTGTCACCCTGTATTTGATATCTCTTGATATCTCTCTTATGTTTGCTACATGAGTATGAGGAGTTTATATATTTATATATATACAGGTATGACATGTACTGTATCTTTCATATGCATCACATTCTTAGCCATTTAAATTAGCATTCTCTCCTCCCCTTCAACTTCAGAAATTAACTTCCTTATTCCATAAGTGTTGACATTTTGACATCACCAACTTATCTACTTACTGTAGGGGACCTCAGGGCTTGCTCATCAGCAGAGATGACATCATCAGCAGAGATGACACCTTGGTCAGACTGACCTGACTCTGAAACAATTGTAGGACATATGAACAATTTGGAGTGTAACATATACTGGAAAGTATTCATTTTGCTTGGATGTTATTTTCACTATTTGTTACCTTAGCAAAACCTGTCTTATCTGAATGCCTCTTGGACCAGTCTAAAGTATTCAGATTAGCAGGTTATCATATTTCAAGGTTTAAGAAACATGTAAGTCGGAGGATAATAAATATGGGACTATGGAAAAGTGTTCACATTTGGATAAGAGAGGTGTTTGTATGTGCAGGTTTCACTGTACTTATAAGTTTAAACCTGTAAAGTATTACACATGTGTATTCTGAGAGTCAAAAGATCATATGAAGTAGAACACCTGATAAGTGGAACATTTTTAGAAGTTCCAAAGGTGTTCCACTTACACAGGTTTTACTGAAGTTTGTTTCATCTCTAAATTTTCAATGTCACATATCATAGATCTAAGTAGATGTTAACGAACACAAGTCATTAACATGCAAAACGTCACCATTTGGCATTTGATATAGATTTAAGTAGATGTTAACGAATAAAAGGCATTAACATGCAAAAACGTCACCATTTGGCATTTGATATAGATCTAAGTAGATGTTAACGAACACAAGGCATTAACATGCAAAAACGTCACCATTTGGCATTTGATCTAAGTAGATGTTAACGAACACAAGTCATTAACATGCAAAACGTCACCATTTGGCATTTGATATAGATTTAAGTAGATGTTAACGAACACAAGTCATTAACATGCAAAACGTCACCATTTGGCATTTGATATAGATTTAAGTAGATGTTAACGAATAAAAGGCATTAACATGCAAAAACGTCACCATTTGGCATTTGATATAGATCTAAGTAGATGTTAACGAACACAAGGCATTAACATGCAAAAACGTCACCATTTGGCATTTGATCTAAGTAGATGTTAACGAACACAAGGCATTAACATGCAAAACGTCACCATATGGCATTTGTTACAGATGCCAAGCTCCGAATGCCAAACACCAACCACCAAAAATTGTCTTTGAAAATTTCATGGAAACTGGATGAAAACTGTTGAAATGGTAGATACAGTCATCATACTTTTGGGAATATTTAGCTGGAAGTGTGCCTAAGTAAGTCTAATTGATGAAGAGTCTAGATATGTCATCCGCCGATCACAGGGCTTCAAAATCCAGATTATATTCTTTCTTTTTACACCCTGCGATAAGCAGTTAGCCTTTCCCCTATTAAGAACTCGCAATCTGATTGGCTGTCGCAACACAGAAATCATGTATAAGTCATCGCGCATAATAAGATCACGTGATTCAGTTTAATCGGGCGCTTCCAAATTGGTTATAGCAGGGGGAAGAAGGAGGTACGGATTCTGGATACCTGCTTAGGAGGATGAGATATGTGGGAACAAAATGAAAGAGCACCTGAAGTTGTCCAATAGTTAGTCTGCACATCTGGAACATGTGATGTCTTGGCATTCTCGCTCCATAATGGAAGTAGCTTTCTATGGCGTAGCTCTAAAAACAAGCACATATAATAAACACAAAAGGTATGTTTAAGAATTAGGTGTTTAAATCTATAATTCAGTTAAACATCTGTAACATAAAACATGAATGTTTATGAACAATCTATAATGCAGGGTGCTATTTTTGTTATATACAGGGTGACCCTAAAAAATGGAAAAACTCTTATCGATTGAAGAGGAGGACCCTTATTGAATAGAATCAAATGTTTTCACACTGCATCTTTATTGTGATTTGCTACCAGAGTATAGTTGTCCTCATACATTAGCATGGTGACCTTGACCCAACATATTCAGGGTCATGTGGATGACAACACAGATAGTATCTGTAGGGACAATAATTCTTGGAGGACCATCATTTCTTTCACATTGGTGGCACATATATTCAAAACATACCTTTTAAGGTTGGTTTAGAGAACAGCTTACTGGGCTCTATGAGTTTCCTTTTTGCAGCCTGAAGCTGAATCTGAAACAAAATGATAAAGGGCATTAACATACAACATGCCACGACCTGTCATTTGTTGCAGGCATCAAACGCCAACCACTGAACTCCAAACACCATTTAAAATAGTTGGACCTGCCATTAGTATTGAACCGAACTCTAAACACCTAACAGTTTGGCAGATTGAATATAGGTATATAATATCCAATTTTCTCCCAGATGATTTTTAGGAACAACATTCATCTCCACATTTCTGACCAAAATTGCTCGAAATATGTCAATTTTTCATGATTTTGCTCATTTTTATTTAGATTTTTTATTTTGCCTCCAACCTCAATATATAAATCTAAAAAAAATTAATATTACCAGAGGTACAGGCTGACATGTTGACAGACCATCCCTCATATTATCTCTCATCTGCTTTTTCGAGATCTGTACCTCCCTATCAGCAAACAATAGATGGTGCTTCCTTCGCCTGATGGCACGTGGGCTGGGTGAGATTGGGGATAACTCCAATGGCAGTCTCTAAAAATAAGAGATATCAACCTTTCACTTCATACACAATTTCATCATTTTTCTAGCCTATGGTGTTATCATAACTTTTTAATCGTACATGATCTATATGTTAATTATTACTGCTTATAAAAGTACATGAATTATGGCAGATCCCATGGTCAGCCCATGATGATATTTTTATATACTTTTTATGATTAAATCACCACCAATAACTAACATCTTTATGTTGATATTTATCCCAGTAGCTAGAATCAATGGTCATAAAATCAACATATTTTGATCAAAATGTTTTTTGTTATGTTAATTTGGTGTTACCTTAATTGCAGAATCTTGAATGTCATACAAATGCAAATGTGTAAAATCATTAATAAATCAACATCATATCTTTCATACAAAATCTTTCTGATTTAACTATCCCCTTCTATCATTACCCCATCCCTCCTTACCTGTGGTCTTGGTCTAGGTCTAGCTGGTGGACTCATCATTGTCACATCTGGAGTGTGGGGTGCTGTTTTCGCAGGTGCCCCTGGCTCCTCAGAAAGTTCTATCTGCACTGCAGGTGTAATATCCCCTTGCCCAATTACACTCAACTCCCTGTTAAAATTACATAAAGCATTGGTGATTGACAATAATTTTATACTGCAAAACTATTTAATATTTAAACATTAACCAGGGCTCTCACCATGAAATATTTAGGGTGTGGTGCTTACATCTTTAGAATAACCATTCAATCGTGATAAATCATATTTATGTTATATTTAATCCTTTTTACATGCTATTATTGTATATTCAGTCAAGTTCAGTCAGTCAATAGGGTGTGGAGGGAGCTAAATAGAGTGTGGTGCAGGGCCACAGTCTAAAAGCCTGCCGAGAGGCCTGTTAACATGACAAAATGTCACCACATGCAAGTTATTATTAAAGTGTATCATTATTACCAAACATGAGCACCAACCACTGACGCTGCACTGAATACGAGACAAAAAAGTGAGAGCGATTATAAAAATCATGGTAACAAGTGGATAAATACAGAAATAAGGCTCTCCACATTAAAATATTATTTTGGTGCAAGACCCTCATGCTCTTAAATAGGTGGCGCAAATTCAAATATGTAAATTTAAAAAAGGTAAAATAATCGAAAGGAGATATAATACCTTCATTGGATTTCCATCTCAGTTTCAAAAACATCTAAATAAATAATATCAGTACATGTGTTGCCAAAGCATGTTGCCTAGCTTTAAACATACTCAGTTTTCTTTAATTATTAAGGGATGGATCCGGAGATGTGCTTACCCCAAGGTTGGTTCACTTATCCCTTCAGATATCTTAGGTCTTTTGGCTGTTGAATCTTCAGATCTCTTTGCTGCAGAATCTTCAGATGAAATACTCCGTTGGGCCGGCGATATCAAATCTTGGACAGCTTTCAAAGGTACCTTATGATGATGATGATAGTTATTTAATTTACAATCAATATATTGTGTATCATAGTAACATGATATTGTAAATCTGGTTGTTAATACAAGTGTGACATTTGTTGCAGATATAAACATGTCGTATTTGTTACATTTACAAAAGTGTAACAATGTCACAGACCCCAAACACTGATGTATTTTGAAACTGAATGTAATTATATAAGGAACAAAGACAAGAGATTCTTTGATTTAAAGTGGAACATCTCTAGACAAGGAAGACCTCTAAGTGAAATACTTTTCAGAGTACCAAGACCAACTGACTAATTAAACTGTTAAATGAACCTCTGTAAATGGAACACCTTTTAGAGGTACCAGAAGTGTTCCACTTAGAAAGGTTTTAGTTTACACTATACAGTAAGTGGAAAACAAGACCAAATGATTTAATCTTAAATGAACCTCTGTAAGTGGAACACCTCCCAAGTGGAACACCTTTAAGATGTACCGGAAGAGTTCCACTTAGAAAAGTTTTAGTTTACACTATACAGTAAGTGGAAAACAAGACCAACTGATTTGATCGTAAATGAACCTCTGTAAGTGGATCACCTCCCAAGTAGAACACCTTTTAGACGTTCAACTTAAACATGTTTTACTTTACCTCATTTTCATGTTGCATAATCTCCATTGGTATGATGTCTTTGTCCATGGGGGGCAAGTCCTCCTCTCCTGGGATTTTAATCTCAGTACTAGAAGGCAACTCTTCACGTATGCTGATCTTGTCATTCGCAACAACCATAGGGGACTGCAAATCTGTAATGTATTTGATGATTAAATGAATGAGGACATGTACAAGTGTGTTATTTTTACAAGTAAGACCAATTATTTCAAAGGGAAATAACCTTAAGCTGGCAATCGCAAATGCAACTGCTAGCTGCCTGATTAATCTATTAATTTAAACTTGCCATCAAATTGCAATTAAACTGGCAGCTGGCAGTTGCATTCGCAAATGCTACCTACCTCAACAATAGGTTATGCTAAAGAACAAGTCTTATAATTAATGCAACATAATGTGGGTGGGTGGCATTTTTTTGTGTCACCCTGTAGCATCCTCCGACGCAGGTGTCCAGAATCTGTACCTCCTTCCCCCTGCTATGACCAATTTGGAAGTGCCAGATTAAACGGAGTTATGTGATCTAATTATGCACCAATGGCGTATACATGATTGCTGTCACAGTTTTGGGACAGCGAATCAAATTGCGAGTTCTTTATCGGGGAAATGCTAACTGCTTATAGCAGGGTGTAAAAAGAAAGATAAGAAGATATTCTGGATTTTGAAGCCCTGTGATTGGAGGATGCCCTGTAGATGTTATATAATAGTACAGTGAAACCTGTAATGTGGAACACCTCTAGAAGTGGAACACTTTTCAGAATCCCAATACAAACTTACTTCATGTTAAATCACACAACTATACCTAACCCCTAGAAATGCACAAGATACTCTGTTTGTCTAATTGTAATTGTTTAAGGTATATTTTTGAAAGTACCTTATTAACATCTAACATCATCCAATAAACCATTAATAAGGGTCAGACAAATAAAAACAAATAACATAATCATTACTAATAAGCCAAATGGGTTGCCCATGAACACCAAATGCAAGGTATAGTAGAGTGTAAATGAACCTTCATGTTAAATGAAATAGAACATCTCTGAAATGGAACACTTTTTAGAGGTTCTAAAGGTGTTCCACTAAAAAAGGTTTAACTGTACACTATAATTTGCTTCATTTGGCAATTCTCTATACAATATTATTAATATCTGTTAAATTAAATTCTCAAAAATTGGCTGATATTGGCAAATAAGCCAATTCATTGTCGCTAAAGTAAATCAATGGAACACAAATTCGTAAATTCACCAATAATTTTGGCCAGATCAATGTTCTGAAAATCACAATTCGCCAAAGTAAATCATTTTACAGTAAAGCTAAGCGTTAAAGCGCCATCAAAGCGCCGTTGGTGTGAACTTAGCTTTAATAAACAGAACAATGTTAGTTTAACATGTTTGAAGTAACAATAAAACTCTAAAATCAAATCAACATTTCATCTGTAAGTATAACCTGGTCTAAATGGCATCCTGGGACTTTTAGGGGATGCTGGGATATGTATATCCTGCATTGTAATTGTTGAGGTATCTGATTGGCTCATGTGGAGCCATTCCTAAAAATGATTAAAATCATGCATTTCTTTCTATTTCTACATAATCAAGATAAAAAAGCAGTATATACAGGGTGATGCAGAAGTTTTTTTGATAACATAAAATGGATATCAAATAATGTACTAACATAGCATACCATATTCTAGTCACACATATTAGCACAGGCTGGTATCGAAATATTTGTCCGCTGTGACGGAGCATGCAATTTTTCATAAAAAACACTAAGAATACTTCACGATTTATTTTTTAACTCATATCTTTCGTTATACCATGCAAAATTACTTACTCCATGCAATGGAAATATCATTTGCGGGTAACTTTCACTTCTGTTTGAAGTCCAATTACGCTGGGAAGAAAAGCTTTTGAAAATGGCGCCAGAGTATCATACTTCAAAATGTACCATTTTTTGTTTAACTTTCTAATGGCACGATATAGTGACACAATAATATTAACACATGGTTTCAGCATAACTATGAAGGTATAAATGAGATGTTGATGTATTTGGTCTTTTTAATTCTTTTATAAAAAATAATGTTTAATTTTTTTGTCCGCTGTGACCGAGCAGTTGCAAATGTGAACTGTGAAAATGCTCCGTCACAGCGGACAAAAAATATTAATATTATTTTTCATAAAAAAAATTAAATAGACCCAATGCATTAATATATCATCAATACATTCAGAGTTATGCTGAAAACATATGTTAATATTATCGTGTCACTATATCATGCCATTAAACAGTTAAAAAAGAAATGATACATTTTAGAGTTTGATACTCTTGCGCCGTTTTCAATAGATTTTACTCCTAGCTTTATTGGACTTCAAACAGAAGTGAAGGTTACACGCAAATGATATATCCATTGCATGGAGTTAGTAATTATCTTTGATATAACGAAACATATGAGTTAAAAAAAGATCGTGAAGCATTCTTAGTGTTTTTATGAAAAATAGCATGCTCTGTCACAGCGGACAAATATTTCGATACCAGCCTGTGATAAGTCTTCTGCATGAAAAAAATCAAAATTGTGCAAAACATTCTGCAAAAAAGAAATTCTGCAATGGCAAAATGAGACTTCATGCAATGGAGAAGTTACATGGACATTTTTTTCAGCATAAAAATATGATATAAATAATAAGTAGAAAATATTTTCAGTGTACTTGTATTTGAAACTCTATATTGGACATTTCTTACTTTTGTTCATTTCCCTTGTATTTTTGTGATCTACGTATTCTAAGTATTGTAATATTTTTTTGGCAAATAAAGTTTTATAAAAAACTTACTACATCCAGAATTTCCGCAGCGTCTGCTTCTCGGACTTTTTCCTGGTTGAACTCACCAAAACCAGTTGGAATTTCAAGGTCATTTATGGCAGGTATCGTGATCAAATCATTTTTAGGTAAGCCAACAAGGTCAATATCTTTCCCTAAGCCAATACCTCCAAATCGTGTTGACAATGACTTGGCATCACCTATGAACACGATATTAACAAATGTCATTTATGGCAGGTATCGAGATCAAATCATTTTTAGGTAAGCCAACAAGGTCAATATCTTTCCCTAAGCCAATACCTCCAAATCGTGTTGACAATGACTTGGCATCACCTATGAACACAATATTAACAGATTTCATTGGCAGATATATTGTGATCAAATCATTCTTAGGTAAGCCAACAATGTCAATATCTTTCCCTATGCCAATACCTCTAAATTGTGTTGACAATGACTTGGCATCACCTATGAACACGATATTAACAACTTTCATTTATGGCAGGTATATTGTGATCAAATCATTCTTAGGTAAGCCAACAATGTCAATATCTTTCCCAAAGCCAATACCTCCAAATCGTGTTGACAATGACTTGGCATCACCTATGAATCACCAAGGTGGGTCATTTTTATAGCAATATAGACTTAGCATCAGTCTTGGACATTTCCAAAGTCAATTTTAAGAATACATGTACAGTTATTTCTATATGAGGAATAGAATGTGAAAACCACCCAGAAATTGTTACCCAAGTGTAACGATTGTTACTTACTTGGATATGATTTTGAAAAATAATTGTCAATTTGCAGCAAGTTTAGACCTTCAATATGTTGCCATGGTAACAGACATGGGCAGAAATGTGTTAAACTCATAACATGTTTATATAATTATATGTATGTTGACAGAAAAAAATTGAAGTTAGTCTTAAGAGTACTGGTTAAGTTATTGGTAGTTGTAAGAATTGTTACACGCTGACTGCCTAACACTGTTACAGACACCAAATAAAAAAAAAGTAAAATCATTTGTCCGATGTGAAAATACTTACTGAATAAGATTTGGCTCTGTCTGTCATACACCTTGACGACCCCATACATGAGCTGAGCTGACAGGTAGAGAGAAAATCTTGGTCTGGCTCCCCCAGGATGTCGGGGCGGGGCTTGGACAACGATATACTGTATGATGTCATCACTGAAATATGACACAATAATTACAATAAAGACACTGACAATGCGACATATTAGCAGATACATACATTGTTCATACTTTGGAAAAATAAAATAGGCTTTTTTCAACACCTATCAACCATTTATTTACTTATATATCAGAAATATTTTGATGGGGATAGATCATGATTTCTAGAATATGAAAATAAGCTTTGTGCTCAATAACCAGGCATCAGTAGCCTTGTGCTAAAGATACAAAATTGCCCATTTCAACAACAATTTTCAACAAAAAATGTAACTATTTAGTACTCACCATGTTCTTCTGACATTCACACTCGAGTAGTCTCTGCGATGTAAGACTGAGGGTCGGGTAGCCGCAATCCTACAAATATGCAATATACCATAATCAGGCCAGTTGTAGCCAGATTTTTCAAAGGGGGGTTCACTTTTAAAAAACTCCAATTTGACAGAATCGTCTCAAAAACTGCAAGCTTTGCAAAAAAATTTGGCCAGAGGGGGTACACTACATTCGAAAAAAAATTCTGTATTTAGATCCACAATACCTTTTATTAGATTCTAGATTAAAATTTAAACACTAAATTAAAGAAGTGTACAGGCCTTTACAATATTTATTGAAAAATTACATACCATACAATGCCAAACTTTCCTCCTTTTTTCTGCAAGATATCCTGACTGTAAAACATTGTTCTCTGCTTTTAAATATTTCCCACTATGCGGCTATAGTTTTCAATGTTGCTTTTGTCGGTAGGTATGCGGCTCTACTTTACAATGTTGCTTTTGTCGGTAGGTATGCGGCTCTACTTTACAATGTTGCTTTTGTCGGTAGGTATGCGGCTCTACTTTACAATGTTGCTTTTGTCGGTAGGTATGCGGCTCTACTTTACAATGTGGCTATGTCAAATACCTGTGGCCTTTGTCAACTTAATGAAGCTATTGTTATTAACTTGGTTATTGTTCACTAGATCTATCTGACTATGTGCTATGTGACTATTCTTCAAACAGTTGTAGTTTTCTATAGAAAGCTGGCCTGCTAATCTAAAATGCTTCAAACCGTCTTCCATTTGTACCTGTTAAACCAAATTTGAAATTATTACATAAATACACTCTCCCCCCCTTCTCATAAACTATAGTATTCAGAGATAGCCTATAGACCAGATAAGAAGAGTCTGACATTTTTTAAAATTGGCTGAACTTCAGCCTGAAGTGTAGATCTAATGATAAAAAGGTTTAAGACTAATTTCGAATTCACCATTACACCATTGAATTCATCATTTAATATTATTAATAAGCGTAAGTAAATACTTAAATTATCACGATGTCTCAGTTCCGAAATGCGTTAAATTAGGCAAATGATGAAAAATGATGACAAACATTATCAGTTTAAATTTCCCGCTAAATAAATATTCAAAGCTACTGAATTATTGTAATAAGACCAGTTTCGTATCTTATGAGAAATTTCAAATTAGAGCTATTGATATTATTAACTAGGTGAAATGTTAGTCTAAAACATGAGAAGAGATTGTGTTAAATATATGAATATATACGACACTCTGTGTCGAGTCTGTGATAGATAGCAAGTAAAAATAGTTTTTTTAAAATACGGAGACACGGCAAGGAGGATTGGCTCCCAGAATGCAACACCGATATTCTGCAAAACAATCACCTAGCGATAGCTTTGTTGGAGAGTATCGGGTCATTCTCCATGCAGTCGTACAAATTATACAGACACGAATAGCAAATGACGCATGCGTGGAGATTAAAGAATATCGAGTTGGAACCCTGGCTTCCAATCCTCCTTGGAGACACGGGAAGCATTCCACGGTAGCAGTTCGTTCGGTGTATTCCTGCTGAACTTGCCCGGGGATTAAGAGGCGGGAAATTCAAACAAACCAACTATGACCGTTTTCAAAGTTAAATGTTTTTAATCATGTATGGTTATATATATTGTTTGGATAGATGACCTTAGTTTAAAATTGTTGCCACAGATCAAGACGAGGAAATAACCCAGCATTTAGGATGAACCTATCTTCATGTAAACATGAACCTCTATTTTAAAGAAAGAGGCTAAGTATCCAGAATCCATATCTATTTTAGACTAATTTTGTTTTTGTCCTCATTCCTTGTCATGTCTGAATCAAACTGACTGAGCTTATGTAAAAGGTATCTGTTAAACGTGTTCCCAAATAGAGCAAATATTCAAAGAAATGTGAAAAATTCAGCATTCATAATTGTTACGTTTTATTTCATTGATACTGTTGATATAAAATTATATCAAATGACATCAAATCTGATCGAAACGAATAAAATCATACAAATACAGTCAAATTAACGTGTAATTTCTCATTTTCTATTTTCCTTCAATATCTAGCCACAAAATATCTTATTTGGTCAAGAAATTTCAAACGTGAATCAGAGAAAAGTCAGAAAATTTTGAACTTAATAATATACTCTTAAAAAATCCACATAATCAGTGTCATATAATGAGGGTTCATCATTATTATTATATTCATATAATCAGTATATAGTCATTTCAATATAATCAGAATATAGTTATTTTAGAATATAGTTATTTCTTCAATATAATCACATAATCAGTATATAGTAATTTCAACATAAACAGAATATAGTTATTTCAGTAAGTAGTTATTTGTTCAATATATAATCACATAATCAGTATATAGTAATTTCAACATAATCAGAATAAAGTTATTTCAGGATATAGTTATTTCTTCAATATAATCACATAATCAGTATATAGTAATTTCAACATAATCAGAATATTATAGTTATTTCAGGATATAGTTATTTCTTCAATATAATCACATAATCAGTATATAGTAATTTCAACATAATCAGAATATAGTTATTTCAGGATATAGTTATTTCTTCAATATAATCACATAATCAGTATATAGTAATTTCAACATAATCAGAATATAGTTATTTCAGGATATAGTTATTTCTTCAATATTCAGTAAAACCTGTGTATAGTGAACATTTTTTTGCCGAAGAAAAATGTTCACTATTGGTAGGTGTTCACTACAGCAAGGATTTGATTTCGCGGCATTTTGCCATATTATATTTAAGAGACCAGTTATTAAACGAGCCTAAATAATAGAGGAGGGAATAACTGATTTAATTTGTATTTTATACCTATGATAACCCATTGCAACAAATTTTTGTTTTTTTGTTGTGTTATACAAACTTACTTATTTTAGACTGCCCGAATGGTTCATCCTTTTATTGTCAAATTTTAATCTTTTCATAATTCTTTAAATAGTGGAATTCTTAACACATTTGAGTCAGTTAAAGGACTTGATTGAATTAATTAAACTACAAGATGGAGTCAGTCAAGAATGATCTTATAATTTTAACCTTATCTGGTTTTTAAAATGATGGAGGTGAGAAAAAGATTTAGTTGGGACTTAGCAGATAGAGATAGAGGTAATAATAGTTAACCAGATTATCTCCAATTAAAGCAATCAATGCTTCTAGACACTGCTAAACACATATCCTGCCTTACAAAAACAAAGCTTACTAAGAATTATAATTAGTCAGACCTGTTTCAATACAAGACATCAAAATCTGAAATTGACCTTTTAATAATTATTTTTGACAGGTAATATAAACATTAACTGCTTAACTCTGATAAGGCAGTTGCAGAAAATCCAAAAGAAATCTTATGTATCAGATTCAATGTTCACTAGAGACAGGATAATTCAATTAAATTTGCCAAGATTTAATGTTCACTGTTCACAGTAGGTAGGTGTTCACTATAGGATTGTACTTTAACATGGGAGTCAATGGGGGGAAAAGGTTTTGCCGAAAAAAAATGTTCACTGTTGAAAGGTGTTCACTAGAGAGATGTGTTCACTAACACAGGTTTTACTGTAATCACATAATCAGTATATAGTAATTTCAACATAATCAGAATATTATAGTTATTTCAGGATATAATTATTTCTTCAATATAATCACATAATCAGTATATAGTAATTTCAACATAATCAGAATATAGTTATTTCAGGATATAGTTATTTCTTCAATATAATCACATAATCAGTATATAGTAATTTCAACATAATCAGAATAAAGTTATTTCAGGATATAGTTATTTCTTCAATATAATCACATAATCAGTATATAGTAATTTCAACATACAGTAAAACCTGTCTAATCCGAACACCCACGGGACCAGCCAAAAGCGTTCAAATTGGCAGGTGTTCAAATTTCAAGGATTTTGTTGGTCGAGGGGGGGATTTTCATTGTTCAGTCCACTATATTGAACACTTAATACACCCTTGGTATACGCAGCTAACGAAAATGAACATCATGCTATTGCCCCGAACCGGTCCGTCTTCTCGCTGAAAGCAGGATGAAATTCTTTGTCACAAAGTTTGGCATTTTTTATAAAATCAAACGCGCGTCATTGAAACTCACAAGGTGTAAATAGCATGTCATTTACATCATACCTTGATGGGGAAAATAGATCTTATATGTTAGAAGTACTAAATAAAAGTTATCGTGAAAATGAGACAGTCGTTCTGGAGAGAAAAGAGCATAAAATGCGCATTTAGAGAGTTTTGGTCCGTTTAAAAATCTGTAAAAAATTGGGGTACTTAAAAGCATCGAGAGGCATTATATATTTCAAATTAGACACGAGGAAGTCAATATTGAGCAAGTTATCATGGCTGTTTTAAATTCAAATAAAACCGTTAACCCGTACCGGTCCAGCTTTTGACCCGTACCGGTCAATTTTCGTTAGCTGCGTATACCAAGGGTGTAATACTAAGTCAGAAAACAATAAATGTTGTTGATGAGTTAATTCTACAATAGTCATATAGCCTATATGCTATGTTTTATTTATATTTTGAACAATATCATCGTTTTAGTAAAAGTAACTCTTATATTTTGGCAAAAACTTTGTAATACACTGTAAAAGTATATGATAGTCTCGTATGAAATCTTATGCTTATCAAATGACTTATCCCATATTATGGTAATATAGCACTGCTTTACTTTTGCTTGAAAAAGTCCTTCATTGTTGTTTGTTTCTTGGCACTTTTAGCATTAGCAATATTTGAGTAGATATCCTCTTCAAGTAAAAAGAATTTTTCATGAGTGTTCATTCGAGATGATGTATAATCCTTCAAAATAACCAGGGCATTCAGGATGTCAGATGTATGCCTTTATGAGACATTTTAGTGATAGGATATTACAAAGTTGAATTTTTTTCTCTTTCTTGTGATATAATCTTGTCTGCAAATGTCGTCTGTGTTGTCCTTGTGATTACAAAACATTTGCTGATTGAATCTTAGCTATCATAACAGACACATGGGATATAAAACAGTTAAGACCTGTTCATAATCCAAATCAAAAACATCCAGTTAATTTACAATAAGGATAAACCAATTATCTCCCAGATTCTCACCTTTCTCTTAATCCAAATCAAAAACATTCAGTTCTTTTCTAAATCTTGTCTGCAAGTGTGGTCTATGTTGTCCTTGTGATTATAAAACATTTGCTGATTGAATCTTAGCTATCATAACAGACCAATGGGATATAAAACAGTCAAGACCTGTTTATAATCCAAATCAAAAACATCCAGTTAATTTACAATAAAGATAAACCAATTAACTCCTGTATTCACACCTTTCCAACATCCTGTTGTTTTCCACAAATTAGGGATGTCACTGAGACTAAATAAGCTAGTTAGGAGTAGTTGGTTCTTTGATTACATTGTATATGTAAAGATAAATAACAACTATAACATTGACTCAATATTTGGCTATAATTGAAATGTCCAGACATTTGATTTCTGATAAAAATGTTCAGATTAGACAGGTCACTTTTTCAAATCTGGTTGTTCACTGTTCAAATTAGGAGGTGTTCAGATTTCAAGGTTTTTTTAACATGGGAGTCAATGGGAGGAAAAAATGGGACCGAAAAAAAGTGTTCAAATTGGAAGGTGTTCGGTTTAGCCAGGTGTTCAGATATACAGGTTTTACTGTAATCAGAATATAGTTATTTCAGGATATAGTTATTTCTTCAATATAATCACATAATCAGTATATAGTAATTTCAACATAATCAGAATATAGTTATTTCGGTATATATTTATTTTTTCAATATAATCACATAATCAGTATATAGTAATTTCAACATAATCAGAATATAGTTATCTCGGTATATATTTATTTCTTCAATATAATCACATAATCAGTATAAATGTATAGTAATTTCAACATAATCAGAATATAGTTATTTCAGTATATAGTTATTTCTTCAATATAATCACATAATCAGTATATAGTAATTTCAACATAATCAGAATATAGTTATTTCAGTATATAGTTATTTCCTCAATATAATCATATAATATTTAAGAAAAGTCATTCCATCAATACTATTATATAATCGATAAATATATAGACAATTTTAGAATATCAATAATCACAATATAGTCATTTCCTCAGCATAATCACTTAATCAGAATATTGTTATCCATAAATATAATTATACAAAGTATACCAGTACATTTTTCAATCAGTATTTTATCAATCAAGTTTATAATATTATCAACACAGTAAGTTTATGGTTAACCATAGATGGCAGTGTGATCAGTGTGAAATTGTCACCACAGCGCCATCTTTCTTCTTAAGCAAAAGTAGATATTCAATAATAAACTGAAATCAGAATTATGTCTGTATTCATACAAAAATATAAAGCTGATAGTTATATGCATGTTTACCCAATAACTATGTTGTATACAGTACTATCCAAAATATTCTCCTTGTTTTGTATAAAGATTTCCATAAAAATGATTCTGAGACACTAACAACATCAATTTCAACTAAGAAGACATTTCACAAAATGTACTGTTCTACAAATACACACTTAACTGTACTGTAATGAATACATGAAACTGTACTGAACTGAACGTTTCTCTACTTTACAGAACAGGTCTGATGTGCATGAAACATAACAAGCTCAATCTAGGATCTGCCTAATCCGAAAATATAACACAAAAGATCATGGCATATAAAGATTATCAGAAATATATTATATATAATTACTGTACTTCTACTTAATGTGGCGGCTGTTTTAATATAGCGGATCCACCAAATTGTTTAAGTCCACCAAATTAAGTAGGGACCTAATTACCAAGTAGTTTTAGTACCATGTAAATTAGTACCATTAGTACAATGTAATGTTGCAAGTAGGTTGGCCAAATTAAGTAGCTGCCAAATGTTCAAAACAGCAAATCCGCCAAAATAAATACACTCTACTATACCTTGCATTGGGTGTTCATGAGCAGTCCCTTGGATAATGGTTTATCGGATGATGTTAGATGTTAATAAGGTACTTTTAAAAATATACTAAACAATTACAATTGGACAAACAGAGTATCTTATGCATTTCTAGGGGTTAGGTATAGTATAGAGTGAAGTAGTGCCTAATTAAGTAGAAGTACAGTACTTGGTTTATCAGTGTGTTTATACATTTGTATTATTCAATGATACACTGCACTGTAATAAAAGCACTGAACTGTACAGTATTGTGTTGTACTGTTCACTGCACTGTATAATAAAAGCACTGAACTGTAAAGTATTGTGTTGTACTGTACACTGCACTGTATAAAAAAGCACTGAACTGTACAGTATTGCGTTGTACTGTACACTGTACTGTATAATAAAAGCACTGAACTGTACAGTATTGCATTGTACTGTACACTGTACTGTATAATAAAAGCACTGAACTGTACAGTATTGCATTGTACTGTACACTGTACTGTATAATAAAAGCACTGAACTGTACAGTATTGCGTTGTACTGTACACTGCACTGTATAATAAAAGCACTGAACTGTAAAGTATTGCGTTGTACTGTACACTGCACTGTATGATAAAAGCACTGAACTGTACAGTATTGTATTGTACTGTACACTGCACTGTATAATAAAAGCACTGAACTGTACAGTATTGTATTGTACTGTACTGTGTTTTAATGTTCTTTACTGCATTGTACTGAATTGTACAGTACTGTACTAAAATAAGCTGAATTATATGGTACAATATTACAATTTCCTATACTCACTGTAAAGAACAAATACTAATAAACTTTATTCTTTACTGTCTATACTATACTGTACTAAACTGTTTTATACTGTACTGTACTGTACTGCACTGCACTGCACTGCACTGCACTGCACTGCACTGCATTGTACTGTACTATACTGTACTGTACTGCACTGTTATATACTACAATTTCTTGTTCTAAATGTAACGCAAGGTTACTGTAACATCATGTATACACTCGAGAAGTGGAACACCTTTGTTAGTGGAACACGTTTTAGAGTCCCAAGACCAACTGACTTAATGTTAAATGAACCTCTATAAGTGGAACACCTCCAAAGTGGAACACTTTAGAAATACACAGTGTTTCCCTTGACAGGTTTTACTGTACTAGTAAGTTTAATAACATACAGTGTTCTCTTATTCTATTATATACTGCACCATACTGCACTGTACTGTACCAAACTGCAATGTACTGTACCATACTGCACTGTACTGTACCATACTGCACTTTACTGTCTACATTGTACTGTACTGTAATAACCTTAATTGTGCTGTACTTAAGTACTGAGCTGATATTTATTTACAAAATGATTTAGTATGAACTATAAAAAATGTATTAAATGGAAAAATAAAATACTGTATGCAATCTTCAATAAAAAATAAAGCCCTATAAAACATTATAAACAACAAAGATCTACGATGTATCGGTCATGAATGCAGCCTTGGATATTCATAGGTTTTTTCTGTTTAAAGGTCCCATGCAAAGTTTTAAAGTATTGTTCAAACATCCACATATAAATTTCGTTTTCAATAAATTAGCCTAACAATTTTTTTAACAAAAAGTCCTTCAAAAACCACTTTTTAAAATTCACAAAAGTTTCGCAAACCGGTTTAAACTTTACATGGGGCCTTTAAGAGTTTGTTCATTGTTTGCTCCTTCATTTGTTCGGATAGTGAGCCTTTTCAATTCATCTACTGTAACAATAATCTGTGTAATTAATTAAGCAGAGACACCATGACATGTACACAATTAAGCAAGTTACATAGTTCTACTATCAACTATACAATATCATACTTCATTGTGTTACATTACAATAATGTCAACCTGGGAGTATTCAATGCCATTATATATCATGATTTAACAGGAATAATAATGAAAACTGAAATTTTGCGGTTTTAATTTTTGTTGATTTTGTTTAACAAAGAAATAATACTCATTGTTGCAATTTTTAATGTACTCGAATATTGAATGAGTGTATTTATTTGATTATAACCCAGCTCTCAATTTTTAACTTTCTTTTCATTGGATTTCAGTGACATTTTTGGAAAATTTAGAAGCACACGAACATCACCAGGTTCACAGTATTTGACTTAAAACATATGTCACATATTTTCAAAAGTGTCACATTACACATGTCACTGTACTGATGAGGACCATACAGATGTGACTTTTACATATGGCTCTTATTCACTAATTTTCAATTTAATATAGACAAATACATGTACACATTTTCCAGTGTACAAATGTGTCACTTTACACATGTGCCGTTGTACAAATGTGCCACTTTACACATGTGCCATTGTACAAATGTGTCACTTTACACATGTGTCAAATACAAATGTGTCACTTTACACATGTGTCAAATACAAATGTGTCATTTTATACATATGTATGTCACTTAACAAATGTGTCCTCCTTCAAATGTGTAACTGTATCAAGTAGATTAATCCGTTGAACCACTGCTGCTGTAACAAGCAGGTCTTCATTATCTTTGTGGCAAATTCCGATTAGTTGGTCCATCAAATGGGAACTCCCTGAAATGTAGTACAATAACAAACTGAATAATAACAATCTCCAATTTACAATGCTTACAATCAGCCTCCAAATGCAGGGCTTACTGTTTTTCCTTCTAAAGAAATAGAAATATAATATTTTGGAGCCAGACAGCAATCCAGAAGTAGAATCAAACATATTACTAAATCAATACCAGTCCTGTACTTGCATGTATAAGAGTACACATGAAAATGTGGAAATGTGACTTCTCAAAATCAATGTTTCTATGTAAGAACTTTTCGATGCAATCTCCACAAAATAATTCATGAAATGTTTATCACAATTGAAAAAATACAAGATTGTATATTTTTGTGTCACGCCGTAGTCATCTAAAATCTAAAAGTTACATACATGGATAGCCCTAATCTTCTTTTGCATGATAAATACATGTACCTTTATTATGTAGTCTTACTTACTCTGATCCGTATATAACAGTCCTATTTACTGTCTTTCTATATCTTTGGTGTTCTTGCTCTAAGGTGACTATGCAGTCTAAGATCCGAGACACAGTTAGAAAGCAGGTCCTTGTGTCTTCTATTGGGGAAGGTGGACTAATCATGTTATCACAAATATTAAGTCTTACTTACTCTGTTCCATATATAACAGTCCTATTTACTGTCTTTCTATATCTTTGGTGTTCTTGCTCTAAGGTGACTATGCAGTCTAAGATCCGAGACACAGTTAGAAAGCAGGTCCTTGTGTCTTCTATTGGGGAAGGTGGACTAATCATGTTATCACAAATATTAAGTCTTACTTACTCTGTTCCATATATAACAGTCCTATTTACTGTCTTTCTATATCTTTGGTGTTCTTGCTCTAAAGTGACTATGCAGTCTAAGATCCGAGACACAGTAAGAAAGCAGGTCCTTGTGTCTTCTATTGGGGAAGGTGGACTAATCATGTTATCACCCATATAAACTTCCTGGACAGCACATGCATCTAGAAAATGCATAATCAAAGTATAGAATGTGACCAAAAAATTAAAACTTGCATGAAGCTCATGTGAATCCCTTTTACCCCTCCTCTAAATGTAAATCAACACAGAGCTAATTCTGCATTTTCTACATTTTCGCATTTTCTACATTAAAAAAAATACGAAAAATTTTCCATCTTCATCATAGATTGCACTTGAAGTCTTACTTCTCCTCTTTAGCCACATAGTTCTTTCCTCTGGGTTTACTCCTCAGCACCATGAGCAAAATCCCCAGGGGATTTACTTTTAAAATGTACCCAATACACCCCACTGCAGATGCCCCCCCCCCCCGCCTGCAGAAGCCCATGAATTATAACTACCTTTTACTATTGTACACACATATTTTGGCTTTTGATTTGTTTTGTTTAATTTTGTTGTAATTAACAGAGGAATAAGATATAAGACAAAAGATATCTACTGTGCTCATTATATTATATATATGTTCATTAATTGATTTATTTACTACTTGATTATTCATTCATTCATTTAGTTACTTATGTCTTCATTTAATGAATAATCATTCATTTATTTATTTAGTTATCAATTAATTTATTTACTTATCAACTCATTTATTTACTTATTTATTGATTTAACTGGGATTATAACCCTATACGACAGTCCTCCATTATCCATTTTTATCTAATGATGTAAAATGAAATATAAGTTATTGAATGATTTGAAGTGCAATACAGGATATATTCTGCTGCAATACAGAATATCAAGACAGAATATCAAGACAGAATATATCCTGTATTGCATTTCAAATCATTCAATAACGTTTTTATTGTGTGATCCTCTGTATTGCTACTGAGATTGTCCCCTCTGTACCAATATTTTCTGTATTGCGACGGAGATGATCAACGGGGACAATCTCAGTAGCAATACAGATTGGTACAGTACAAGAACTGACCAATCAGAAGGCTTCATTTTACAGATCATATGATAAGTAAATGTACATATTCTTTCAAATCTAAAGAGCTACTCCATTAATCAAACACATTAAGCAATATGATGCAATGAAAAGCATAGAACGAAAAATACTGCATGTTTAACCAGAACAACGGCAACGCCAAAGCGTAGCGAATCCCATCGAACAGCCATAGATGGCATTTTTACAAACAAAGTATATAGCAAAAATGGCAGGCATTTTTCAAAATGGCCGCCTTCTACCAAAAGTGTCATTAGACCATTTGCCATACTTATAGTATTCACATACCAAATATGAACAAAATCACTCCACTACTTTTCAATTTATAGTAAAATACTTTAAAATGGTGGCCATTTTGAAAACCAAAAGTGTCATTAGACAGTGTGCCATGCTTACAGTATTCACATATATTATATATTAGCCTAGGAGACTGTTCTCCAAATTTTTTTTCAAAATGGCCACCTTCTACTAAAAGTGTCATTAGACAGTGTGCCATCCTTATAGTATTCACATACCAAATATGAACAAAATCACTTCACTACTTTTTGAGTTAAAGTAAAATAGGTTAAAATTAGACAGTGTGCCATCCTTATAGTATTCACATACCAAATATGAACAAAATCACTTCACTACTTTTTGAGTTAAAGTAAAATAGGTTAAAATGGCGGCCATTTTTCTACCAAAAGTGTCTTTAGACAGTGTGCAATGTTTATAGTATTCACATACCAAATATGAACAAAATCGCTCCACTACTTTTCGAGTTACAGCAAAAATCGTAAAATAACGAGCAAAGGCCGCCATTTTTCAAGATGGCTGCCATGTGCTTCTTTAATATCTACATTTCTAGCTTTATTAATGTCCTATATCATTTTTTACATCTAAAACATATTGCTATTACAGTTTTACATATTGCACCTAAATTACTGTAAATTCGGCACTAAAATTGCCGCCATTTTGAAATGAGCGCCCATTTTGAAAATCTGCTTTCGAGCAGAATTTCTACCCCCATAGGGTATATGTGTACAAAATATGAACAAAATCGGGCCAACGGTATTTGAGTTATTGCCCGGACGGAAGGACGGACGGACAGACAGACGGACGGAGGCGTTCCCTATATCCCTCCAAACTTTGTTCGATGGGATAATAAAAAATAAAACATTATCGTAAAATAAACTTAGAATAACAACCACTGAAATGTAACAGTACAATGATGAAATTGTAACAATGATAAAAATGTAACAATGATGAAATTGTAACAATGATGAAAATGTAACAATGATGAAATTGTAACAATGCAATGATGAAATTGTAACAATGATGAAAATGTAACAATAATGAAATTGTAACAAAGATGGAATTGAAAAAGCAGCTAAAAATTAAAATACATAAATGTAACTGATTTCAATTGTTATTATGAATAAAAATTAAATAAAATAAAAAGTCAATTTCATTAAGGAAGAGGGCAAGTGACAATTTCATTTGACTGTCATTGTTGCTATTTTTGGACACCTGGGTGGCATATTTGGGCTACTAATGACCACTGATCTGATGGAACTGGAGGTCCAATACAGGAGGACAGCACACTATGTGTACAGGAGTACAGCAAATACACATTATGTATACAGTAGTACACCACATGCACATTATGTGTATACTGTACAGGAGTACAGCAAATTATGTGAACAGGAGTACAGCAAATATACAATACAGGAGTACACCACATGCACATTATGTGTATACTGTACAGGAGTACAGCAAATTACATGTATGTGTACAGGAGTACAGCAAATACACATTATGTATACAGGAGTACACCACATGCACATTATGTGTATAATGTACAGGAGGCTACCTACAGGAGGACGGTACACTGTGTGTACAGGAGTACAGCAAATACAAATTATGTCTACAGTAGTACAGCACAAGCACAATGTGTGTACAGCACATCTACTGTAGTACATCATGCATACAGTACATAAAACATGAAAATAACATGAACACAAAGGCAAGATTGAATATTCTACAGAAGCACACAATTCTTTCTTACCCCCTGACATCTTTTCACAGTGACCTGAAGGTAATAAATATTGTTATACCACTGTCAAGCATTCAGTTGTACGATTGGTCAAAACCTGTATGATTGGTCAAAACCTTGTCACATGTCAATCTTTCAGTTGGTGGTTGGTCAAAACCTTGTCACATGTCAAGCATTCGATTGTATGATTGGTCAAAACCTTGTCACATGTCAAGCATTCAGTTATATGATTGGTCAAAACTTGGTCACATCTCAAGTATTCATTTGTATGATTGGTCAAAACTTGGTCACATGTCAAGCTATCAATTGTATGATTGGTGAAAACCTGGTCACATGTCAAGCTTTCAGTTGTATGATTGGTCAAACCCTTGTTATCACTTTCAAATCTACAACAATCTTTGCTTTGGAAAATCAAATGGGAGAGAATTTATATAGTATTCATTAACCAGTAATTTTGATTTAAAGATTGAGGAATTTGAGAGAAATTTTCGAAAACAAACCTGTTGAATGTGAATAAACGAATGCGAGTGAATCATACCTTGCAGGAGTTCCAGTTGGTTGATATTCTGTAGGAACAATGTGTGGATTTTCTCTAGTTCTAAGCCTTGGTGGATATAGTCACATATACTCTGAGACAGTCCAGATGTGGTCCTTTTACAACCTGGACACTTTACTTGCTCATCCATGCAACTGAAACATAATGTATGTAATCTTTCTAACTATAAACCTGGATGGCGGGACTATCCAAATCAAATATAGTCCAACACTTACATGTAACCACATGTTACTACATGCAACTCCAAGATGTTACATGTAACTACATGTTATTACATGTAACTACATGTTATTACATGTACCTACATGTTATTACATGTAACTACATGTCACAAACTCACTCATACAACTGAAAAGAAAAGTATTTGATAATCAACATGTTAAAAGTTTGAAAATTAGCAAAACTTTATAGTGAAAAGCATGGTAGGCCTACACTGTATATTTAAGATATAGACTACAGATAACACTGTATAACCTGGGCCTATATTTTACAACCTTAATAGAGAATTTAAGCAAGAAATGGGCTTACCAAATTAACATGGGCCAATACAACCTTAATAGGGAATTTAAGCAAGAAATGGGCTTACCAAATTAACATGGGCCAATATAACCATAATAGGGAATCTAAGCAAGAAATGGGCTTACCAAGTCCAATGGTTATTTATATACACTCCACTGTGGTAGTGCGTTGGTTTATCCTCTCTCATGTTAGAGTTTGACATCTTAGTGAGAATAGACAACCTGAAACATACACAAATCAAACATTAGCCAAATTGGGTTAATTTTCCATGCTACAAAACCAACATTTTGAAGGATATTATTTATTGAATTGATTAAAGGGGTGGGAAGGTTTGGTGAGTTAAGGAGCAAAGACCATTACAAGGCATTAATATGCTTAAATTTGCTACAGACGCTGATGGCTATTACAGACGCTGAACAAAATCCACAAAGAAGTTGCTTACCATTGTGATTCTTCTCTCTTTGAGGCTGCCTGTATATAGAGTATGTTCTCTGGCTGGATCACTTGTATAACCTACAACATTTCCTTATTTATCAATTAAACGTATGTACGATAAAACATGTGTAAGTGGAACATACATTTGGTATAGCAAACGAGGCTTATTAGCACCCTTTGACCCCGCCTTTGACATGTTCATAGTATGCCATTGTTATAAAGAATAAAAACCTGACTTTGGGTATATCCATTTCGTAACTTACATTATGCATGTTAAAGGTGCTATAGTCCACACTCTCTGCTGCTAATATAACTTACATTATGCATGTTAAAGGTGCTATAGTCCACACTCTCTGCTGCTAATATAACTTACATTATGCATGTTAAAGGTGCTATAGTCCACACTTTCTGCTGCTAGTATCTCAGACATGGGCAGTTCTGATGAAGGTACATCACCTATTAACATTTGGAATTTAAATACATATTAGGAATGTTTTTTGATTGGAATTACTGGGTGGTGCTCATCATTATGGAATGGACAATTTGCAATGGAAAAAATCACAGCATATACAGAAAAATATAAAGAAAGGGGTACTTTCAAATCACATGATTTTCTCAAAAGATACAAAATGACTGATGGGAAAACTTAGTTTGCTGATGTGGAAAATTTGTATTTTTGTATTTTTTCACAACTAAAATTAACTCTTCAAATCCTACCTTTATTTTTTGAATGAGCCAGACATTTCATTGAAAGCGTAAAATGTCTTTTCTGGAAATTATGGGATGGAAACAGCATGTTTTTGTGCTGGTTGCGTTTGTGCATCATACTGGAAGATAAATAAATAAATAAACACTTAAAAATTCTTAAAAAATGTTTTTTTAATTTTGATTTAAAGAGTGTAATGTCACTGAACTAAATGTTTTGAGAATTTTTCATTTCTTGGGATAAAACTGAAGAGCTCCTTATAATGACATTGCTTCTTCAAGCGAGAGGTTTCCATAGTTTCTGTCATCATTTCCTTCAAAATTTGGATTTTGCAATTTTATCAGAGAGCAAACATCTGTTAAATAAATGTAATTATCACATGCTCTGTAAAATTCCAGTAATCTGATTGGTTAATTACCGTGTGAGTTTTCCCATCTCACACGGACGTCTCACACGTTACTAGAGGCAACCAGTGATGACGTTTCATATTTTGCCCATACAATATGACGTCATACTATTTCACAAAAAAGTACGAATACAACGGTATGACGTCATATTGTTTCAAAGCGAAATCAAAAATTATAATAGTTACCAGGAGTACAGAGTACTGAAAACAATCATAACTGACCAAATCAAAATGCCTCAAAATTCCTAGACATGTGATAATATCAGTTATCACACGTTTCAGCATGTGATACAGGAAATATTCCACAAAAGGTAATACTGTATCATCCACGAAAGCGAAGGACTATCAACCTCTTGAATCCCAGACTCTAAAATTGGTTGAAACCAGAGAATTTTTCATTTTTGCCACCTTTTGACATTTCACTACATACCTTTACAACTTTAGATGCTCAACTTAGTAAAATTAGACGACAGAGATCATTTCTACACATTTTAAAACAATTTTTGTGTAAATTGGATGGAAATTGTTCAAATAAGGGCAATTTTAGTGAAAAAAATTGTGATGGATTTTTTTGTCACTCTGGGTTTCAGGATCCTTCTTGAGATGACGAGAAATCTTGTCACTCTAGGTAGTCAAGAGGTTAAAAGACCCCGTACCAATCCAACTTACCCCTCCATAAGTAGTAGATTTGAGTCTTGTACATAATTGAGCCTGTTTGTTGAAATCTCATCAAGGTACTGAAAATATGAAATATACCTTAACTTGATTTTGATATTAAAGTGGATCATCACATTTGGTGATTTTTTATTAAATAAATTATTGAATGGAAAATTAAAATTGCTATATAGTTAAAAATAAGAACTGCTCAACAAAAAAATAGATGCCTTATACGTATGTTAATAATCTCAACTTAAATTTTGGATCCATGCCTGCTTACTTTATTCCTTGCTAATTTCACTTTTTTACAGTTTAAACATGACCAATTATAATGTTTTACCTGTTTCAAGAGGTTCACATATCTGGATTCTGTGAAGTAAGTAAAAAGGGGAACCATGTATTCTTCCTTGTAGCTGAACACAGGCTGAAAATATAGAAACACAGGCTGAAAGTATGTAAACACAGGCTGAAAGCATAGAAACACAGGCTGAAAGTATGTAAACACAGGCTGAAAGTATAGAAACACAAACTGAAAGTATATAAACACAGGCTGAAAATATAGAAACATGGGCTGAAAGTATGTAAACACAAACTGAAAGTATGTAAACACAGGCTGAAAATATAGAAACACAGGCTCAAAGTATGTAAACACAAACTGAAAGTATGTAAACACAGGCTGAAAATATAGAAACACAGGCTGAAAATATAGGAACACAGGCTGAAAGTATGTAAACCCAGGCTGGCAGTATGTAAACACAGGCTGAAAGTACATAATCTCAGGCTGAAAGTATAAGAACACAGGCTTAAAGTACATCAACACAGGCACTGGTTAGATTGAGTTCGATAAAATGAAAGGGTCCAGGATTCAATTATTTAAACAATTGATTAATCTTAACTACATAAAATAAATGTAGATTACTTACGTTTTGAGCACCAACATAGTTGCCAAGGGACTGTATTGTTTTGGAGATAAGCAGGAGATTACGCTGAGCTATTGCACTCTGAAAAGATATAGAACAATAATATCACAATTTGGATAGAAACATGGCCATTGTGTTATTTACCCAGCATTCTCAAATCCTTTCTTATCAGATGTTGGCAATCTGGCAATAAGATGGACACGCAATTCTCCCGGGACTTAATAGCCAATATTTATGTGGCGCCCATCCCCTCTACCATCAGCATAAGACAATGAGAAAACAGCAAAGTGCAACAAGCCATTAACATGCAAAATGTCACCACCTGCCATTTGTTACAGACACCGACCACCAACCAACAAATGGAGAATACAATCAACAAAAAGTTGAAGACCATAACAACATTTCACCACTTGGGTGGTGGTATGATAATAAACAAGTCATTAACATGAAAAATGTCACCACCTGCCATTTGTTACAGATGCTGACAACTGAACACCAGAAACCAACCACCAAACCCTGAACACCATCCACAAAAAAGTTGGAGACTAACAATATGTCACAACTTGTTGTGCTGACATAGGGTGATATAAAAATACTACTTACTGGATTATTTGAGCATAGTTTAAAGAGACGTGGTCCAAGGATGGCTGGAGCAAAGAACCTTAGGAATATGAAACCACTGACAACCTGGTACCTTACACAAGACTTGTCTGAAAATAATAAATCTATCATTAAAACCTTAGTCACATTTGCTCTACAGCAGCTAGAGCACAGCAGCTAGAGCACAGCGGCTAGAGCACAGCGGCTAGAGCACAGCGGCTAGAGCACAGCGGCTGTTGCTTCACAAAATCGATATAGAAATTCTACATCATACTGATTATCCTTATATTTTATGCTGCATATTTCTCGATTTTGGGAAGATATGGCTGCCGTACAGCAAATGTGACTGAGGCATTATCAAGAAATTTTTTGTACTGTTAAAGGAAGGCTACACCAAAATAATTTTATTATTATCTACCTTGTGAATCTTTACACCAATGCATTAATCTGGGTCTGTGCTATTTGAAATGTCATACTGACCTACATGTACTTTCAATTCAACATGGCTGCTTTAACAGCCTACATAAGCATTACATATACATGTATAGATGGCAATGCCAGATATCCTATGAGAACATAACCATTTTAATCTAGTAAGACAACAGATCAATTGCAGGGGTTTCAATAGAATTCCTCAAAACAGGCTAAATGAATGAAAACAACAGGCAAAATTAATGGAAATCATAAATTTAACATGGAAAAGTTGAAAAGTCCCTAAAACAATAGGTGATTTTGTGAAAACAACCGGTGAAAATCGTCTGTTCCCTGCTGCTATTGAAACCCCTGTTTATGGCATTTGTGCTAAAGTCCTTACCTGAAAAAGCCTCTAAAGCACTGTCCTTTAAAACTTCAAATACACTACACATAAGGACTGGGCAAGATAGGCTGGACTGAGTGATGCTATCTAATATATGGCTTACATAGTATTCTAAATTCTCCTACAAAGAGAAAGTACATAGATAAATACACATAAAACAGGGCAAGATAGGCTGGACTGAGTAATGCTATCTAATATATGGCTTACATAGTATTCTAAATTCTCCTACAAAGAGAAAGTACATATATAAAAATACACATAAAACAGGGCAAGATAGGCTGGACTTTGTGATGCTATCTAATATACATGTATGGCTAACATAGTATTCTAAATTCCCCTACAAAGAGAAAGTACATATATAAATACACATAAAACAGGCCAAGATAGGCTGGACTGAGTGATGCTATCTAATATATGGCTTACATAGTATTCTAAATTCCCCTACAAAGAGAAAGTACATAGATAAATACACAAAAGGACAGGCCAAGATAGGCCGGACTGAGTGATGCTATCTAATATATGGCTTCCATAGTACTCTAAATTCTCCTACAAAGAGAAAGTACATAGATAAATACACATAAGGACAGGCCAAGATAGGCCGGACTGAGTGATGCTATCTAATATATGGCTTCCATACTACTCTAAATTCTCCTACAAAGAGAAAGTACATAGATAAATACACATAAGGACAGGCCAAGATAGGCCGGACTGAGTGATGCTATCTAATATACGGCTTCCATAGTATTCTAAATTCTCCTACAAAGAGAAAGTACATAGATAAATACACATAAGGACAGGCCAAGATAGGCCGGACTGAGTGATGCTATCTAATATATGGCTTACATAGTATTCTAAATTCTCCTACAAAGAGAAAGTACATAGATAAATACACATAAGGACAGGCCAAGATAGGCCGGACTGAGTGATGCTATCTAATATACAGCTTCCATAGTATTCTAAATTCTCCTGCAAAGAGAAAGTACATAGATAAATACACATAAAACAGGGCAAGATAAGCTGGACTGAGTGATAGCTATCTAATATATGGCTTACATAGTATTCTAAATTCTCCTACAAAGAGAAAGTACATAGATAAATACACATAAGGACAGACCAAGATAGGCCAGACTGAGTGATGCTATCTAATATATGGCTAACATAGTATTCTAAATTCTCCTACAAAGAGAAAGTACATAGATAAATACACATAAGGACAGGCCAAGATAGGCCGGACTGAGTGATGCTATCTAATATACGGCTTCCATAGTATTCTAAATTCTCCTGCAAAGAGAAAGTACATAGATAAATACACATAAAACAGGGCAAGATAAGCTGGACTGAGTGATAGCTATCTAATATATGGCTTACATAGTATTCTAAATTCTCCTACAAAGAGAAAGTACATAGATAAATACACATAAGGACAGACCAAGATAGGCCAGACTGAGTGATGCTATCTAATATATGGCTAACATAGTATTCTAAATTCTCCTACAAAGAGAAAGTACATAGATAAATACACATAAGGACAGGCCAAGATAGGCCGGACTGAGTGATGCTATCTAATATACGGCTTCCATAGTATTCTAAATTCTCCTACAAAGAGAAAGTACATAGATAAATACACATAAAACAGGGAGAGATACATGTAGGCTGGACAGAGTGATGCTATCTAATATATGGCTTACATATACAGTAGTATTCTAAATTCTCCTACAAATAGATCAAACAGGGCCTTGTGGTTACCTTTGGAATACATTTACAGTTGATGCAAACCTACAGTACCTACATGTAGTCATATCTGATAATCTAGTGGGGTCTATTTCACAGTATAACATACTCACCATGTTTTCATGTGGATCAGTCATATCTGGTAATCTAGTTGGGTCTATTTCACAGTCTTTCTGACCTGTCTCAATCTAAATGAAGAAAGTAGGCTTTAATATTCTTCCATTAAGTGTAAATACAATTTCTAAAAGAATATCACAAGAAATTTAAGACTTTCATTGTATCATATACAATAGCATTTTTCTGTAAAACCTGAGTGTGCATATTACAGTATTTCTAACATACTTAGCAGTAATATTTTATTATCTGTGCTATGATTGGTTTAAATGTTAACTCTGATCTGATTGGTTATACTGTTCAATGTTTTTGATATGATTGGCTGACTTGTTTTAGAAGCTCCGATATGATTGGCTGAAATGTTTCATTACCTCTGATATGATTGGGTGAATATTTAATTAGCTTTGATATGATTGGCTGAACTGCTTTATTACTTCTGATATGAATGGATGAAGTGTTTTTTACCTCTTATTACCCCTGATATGATTGGTTGAACATTTACTAATAATTACCTCTGATATGATTGGTTGAAGTGTATCCAATAGATAGTCCTGTCCTAGTAGCTTCATGAGTTCATCAATACATTTACTTAACAACGTATTGCCTCTGAATAATGTATTAACATCCCTGTCAAATATACGAGTACAATTACATACATGTTTGTAAATATCATTGCATTTGGAATTTGAAAGTGTTTTATTGTAGCGATGCCTTTTTTCTTTTCTTTTTTTTAATTTTCATGAAACCAGGACTTACTTATTTATTTCATTTAATAAGAAAATGACATAAGAAAAATACCATCTTAAGTTCTTAAAAAGTCTAAAGCAATAAATTAATTCTGACAATTTGATATACATATACAGGGTGGGCCAAAAAATGTTACTCTTATTAAACTGGCAAGAATATAATAATGGCAGCTTTTTTGTTATTTAAAGAAATTTTCAAAATTCTCAAAATTTAAAATGAAAAATACCTACACTGTATTTGCGATTTCCCATTTCACCAATTGTTGAATAAATTGCACTATATTTCCATTGCACAAGAATATTTTGACTAGAGGTTGTGCTGCGTCTTCCATATTTGGCGCTATTTGACCAAGAATATTTGCTGCACTTGAGCTGATTGGCTGCAAATATAGACAACACATTGATTTTGATTAATACATGTTGGGGGAAGGCATTAACATGTCAGTACTGACATTTGTTACAGATGCTGACTGATGAACATGTAACACTAATGCCCAACACCGTCCACAAAAAAAACTGATACCAGTCACAAAAAAAACAAGGACCAAATTTTCAAATGAGACAATAATATCTTACCTCAACTTGATGAGAGAGACAAAGAAGCTGTAGTAAATTATCATAATAATTTGGAGGGAATACATGGTCCACTGTGTAGTGTATTTTAACCCGTAATGATCCACAACTTGTGGAGTCTTGCCCATCGAAAACTCTATTTTGGAGATAATACCTAAAACACAAATAAATAAACAATTAGAGAAGCAGGCCCGTAGCCAGTATTTGCCAAGGGGGGGTTCAGTTTTCAAAAATTTCCAGGGGGGGTTCACATTTGACAATTTTGGCCCAAATATGGCAAAAATCACTTGAGAAGTGCTCAAAATGGTGAAAAACTGCATGAAGTTGAAATAATTTTTGGCTAGGGGGGGGGGGGTTCTACCCGAACCCTGCAACCCCCCTCCTGGCTGTGGAATAAGGCACTTAATCATGGAACAAAAATTCAGCATTTCGGTACCAGAACAGCATTTTTTTAAAAATTTTGTTCATTTTTCCACTTCTCATTTAAGCATTCTGTAGACCTTTTCACAAGAAGATAGACTAAGTAGATCAACTTGTATCTAATACACGCAGTCACTCTGTTCCGAACCGTTCCAAAATTGTTTGACTCAGAAGCCAAATGTACCGAACAGAACCGTTCTGATTTTTACATGTATTGTTCCATGACTCCTCTGTTCAAGTGGAACCTCAGAATAGTGTTCCACTTGGGAGGTGTCCACTTGTGGAGTTGCATTTTACTGAACACATTCTATCACCCTATACATAGTGAAATGACCAATATCAATCTGTAGGAAAATTTTGGACTGATTTCCATTTTCATTGCTGATTCCAGTTGATTTTGGTGGTATCACTGCATATACACTGTACATGTAGGGTGTTTATATCAGCCATTGATCAACAAGACAAGAGATCCAATGCATGATTATAAAGTGGATAAATAATTATAAATAAAATAGGTAAAACTTAACAAATTAAAAATCTTTATACGTACCATGCATTATGACATTTGTTGTTTTGAATCTCTTTTAGGTGAATTTTGATCTCTCCAAGAAAGACTCCTTGAAACAGATTAGTAAAGACCCCTTGTGATAACCGTGAATCATCATGCCAGAGACTCACACTGAAAACATAATAACTTTTGTTGATTATTGTTCAACCAAAGCATATTGGTTAAAACCTCATCCATTACCGCACTAGTCCTCTTTAGGGGTTAGACAGCTAACTGAACCGCATAGCTCCAACCAGCACTGACCTTGAGACCTCGATGGTTTGGAAAAATTGCTCAGTTCAGTTTTTTAACGGAAAGTTAATTGACGGAAAATTATTGATCGTAAATGCACATTTGCTAAAATAATGTTGATCGAATAAATGTTTCACATAGAAATGCAAAATACATTGATCATATATAGGTTAATTTATTTATATTCTTTATTATAGCAGAATATAATGGTGCAATTGAAACCCAGAATAATCAAATCAAAAATCTAACTGAGGGAATCAAAAACTTAACAGAACCGGAACTTCTGAAACAGTCCAACCCCTAGTCCTAATAGCCAGAATGGAGGGGAAGGAGTTTGGTATATATATATGAAAACCATGATATCTTTCAAGAAGTTCTTTTTCAGTAATGACAGGGTAAATAATTTGTACTATATCTATTAATAGAATCATATGACTGTATAACAATAAATATAAATAAAAAACACATCTGCCACCGCTGCTGTAGAAAACAACAACTGCCACCAATGCTTTTAAAAACATCTACCACCAATGCTATAGAAAAATTAAGCCAACTTATATCATAATTCCAAAATTCCAAATTCGAAAGAATTGCAAATGGGTAATCCTTACCAGATTTATATTGGTTAACCTGTAATCATATACAAAATCGGATGTACATTTGGCCCTAAAAGGGCATCAGTACTAATAAAATCCTACTATTAATTATATATCATTTTGGGGTATATTATGGTCAGAATTTGTTGTGTAGTTCCTAAAACAATTTTCCCGACCATAATATACCCCAAAATGATATGATCACAAGATGATTTGAAATTGCAAATGCTGTATATTATTTAGTTTATCTAATAGTTACAACTGTATTCACATCATTTAAATAAATCATATATACAATATGGATCCTGTATTATATACAATACTCAACTCTACATATACAATGAATTTATAAGAGACTATTTTCAACATTCTGATTTCATAATATATGATCTATACTTACACATACCAGGCACAGGCCCGGAGCCAGGATTTGCCAAGGGGGGTTCACTTTTTGAAAAATTCAAGGGGGGTTCACTTGTGACAATTTTGGTCCAAAAATAACCAAAATCACTTAAAAAGTGTTCAGAATGGTGAAAAACTGTATGATTTTGAAAGATTTTTTGGCTAGGGGGGTTCGAGGATGAAGCATAAATGAATATATGATATAACCATAAATGACCATAAAAGGTCATAAAAGTCACTGTAAAACCTGTCCAATTTGAACACTACTGAGGCCAGCCAAAAGTGTTCAGATTAGCAGGTGTTCAATTTCTAAAGTATCTAAGTTAATGGGAGGTAGTATATTTGGGGCAGAGAAGAAGTGTTCACATTGAGAGGTGTTTGAATTAGAGAGGTGTTTACATTCTAAAGATTGGACTGAAAAAAGTGTTCACATTGAGAGGTGTTTGGATTAGAGACTGTTGTGATATATGGTCACAGGACCATAATCTTTTTATTAAAACATAATATCGTGATCTCTTAATTAAAATATAAATTCACGGTCTCTTAATGCAAATTTAATTTCGCGGTCTCCTAATTATAATATTACATCGCAATCGATCAAGCGATAGGTCAGAAGTTCAAATCAATACGTGCCAGAGGGTATCTTCAATTGGTTTCGCGGCAAAATTGGAATTCATGACGAGAACTACATCTAAATTTAGTAACAAAACTCACTTATTCGTGAATTCAAAAACAAGATGCAATAGCTGAAACTTTATAAACCAATCAAATCAGAAGGATAATCATATATAAATGAAACATCCAAATTGAATTAGTTGTTCTGAAATTTGTCACTTACATTTTACAAATAAATCGTTTTGGTATCGAAGAGATGCTACTTTGACAATATGCTGCAATTATAGAAAGGTATGTGTCCACTGGGTTTTGCAGGATAGTTCATAATATCTAAACATTCATTTGATTTAGCTTTCTTGGTAATAATTTCAATGCAGTTTTGTAAGACATAAACTTGAGTTTTCAAAATAATATTGCCACATGAGAAAATCAATATGAAATTGAAATATGACATGATATGTCGATCTAATCTTCTTTAGGTCGATAAATCATAATTATTATTATATAAATGTTGAACACATGTAAAATATTTCATATTTCTTATTCCAGGCCTGTCTGTCTGTCTGTTTGTCTGTGTGCACTGTGTGTGCCCTTACTGCCTGTCAGTCAGTCAGATTTAAAATTTATAATTGATAAAACATATTTTTACACTTACTATTTTTGATATTGAAAATAAATTGATTTATTGCTATTTTAAATCTTATTTTGTGATTATTGGTTCAAGAGACTCTATGAAGCTATAATTGTAATCGACCCACATACACTCGCCCACTATCCTTCAGTTGTATTGTGAATGATGTACAATAAGCTCAATTTTACCCTGAGTTAGCTGTAGTCAAGTAACATTGAGGTCTATCACAATCAAGACTGATATCTCACTTGTTGTGGTCAGAGTGCAGTAGTGTGACTTACAACTGATACAGGATCAGGGTAGGTTTTTTAAGTCTTCTATTATGTACATAAACTGTTGTTTCTTATCATTTTATTACTGACCTAAGTTGTGAGTCCCAGGGGTCTTCTATTATGTACATAAACTGTTGTTTCTTATCATTTTATTACTGACCTAAGTTGTGAATCCCAGGGGTCTTCTATTATGTACTTAAACTGTTGTTTCTTATCATTTTATTACTGACCTGAGTTGTGAGTCCCAGGGGTCTTCTATTATGTACATAAACTGTTGTTTCTTATCATTTTATTACTGACCTGAGTTGTGAGTCCCAGGGGTCTTCTATTATGTACATAAACTGTTGTTTCTTATCATTTTATTACTGACCTAAGTTGTGAATCCCAGGGGTCTTCTATTATGTACATAAACTGTTGTTTCCTATCATTCTGCTGTCCTGCATGTTTCTCTATCTGAAGTCATAAAATATAACCCTTTAAAAGAAATTAATTATGTCTAACTCTACAAATGAGAGATGATTCTTATCTTGGCTGGTATCCTATCAGAATATAGTAAGCTAATCAAAACACTGCTTGCACCAATTTCAAACTCTTTTTCAATGCTTTTAACTTCATTCAGTTTATAAATCAAATTATTTCATAATTTTCATACAGTAAGCTAATCAAAACACTGCGCCTTTGATTAGCTTATTTGCACTCATTTCAAATTCAAACTCATATGTCATAAAGAGTACATAAATGGTACACTTGAGATTGTTAGAAATATGTATTAGTATCAAAAGTAAATACTTAGATTAGTAAGAGAGGAGTGTGCCTTACTCATGGGGATAATGTGTATTAAAATTTAACTTTTCCATTGAATGGTTAAAAGTACATTGAAACCCAGTTTATAATGTGGTAATTAATTTAGCTTCAATGTATTGTAGCATAGCATCATGACAACATTGACACTTTGGCCGTACCCCCTTAATACTTACATCAAATATGAATGTTTCATTAAACTTTGGATGAGTTGTTTTTCTCTTGATTGAAGTTCTGTGTACATCATCCTTTGTCTGTGAATTGTTATAGGAGAGCCTGACTACTGCATATGGGTTACAGATTCCATTGGTTTCCAACAAGTCTTTACTTTGTAACACCCTGTAGATTGGAAAAATACAGGGATATATTACACTCCCCAAAAATTTGTAGAATGAAGAAACACAGGGCTAGCAATATTACACCCCTCACCAAAAGTTAGTACAATGTTGCACAAAAAAAGAACACTTTGTACAAAAATGTACAAATTGGATTTGGCACTGAGCAATATTTTCTAGTTTATATAAAATGGGATACTGATTTTAATGTATGATGTTATTAAAGGTCGATGATCAAACCACGATGACCTACTTTTTAGTTTAGCACAATATCTAATGCATAAAACCTCTTGTTAAAGAGCATGTATTTTAATTAATTTTTCTCTTTTCTATTATGAAATTATGTGTCTTACTTGACTGCTAGTCTGTGGAACATGTGACCATCAGCCCCCAAGACTTGTTCGAACCTCACTTCTATGTTGACCTTGCCCTATGATTAAAACATTATGAATGGAACACAAGAATTAAATTTACAGATGCCAGGCCCGTAGCCAGGGTTTGCCAAGGGAGGGGGGGTCAGTTTTCAAAAATTTCCTGGGGGTTCACATTTGACAATTTTGGCCCAATTATGGCTAAAATCACTCGAGAAGTGCTCAAAAATGATGAAAAACTGCATGATTTTGAAAGAATATTTGGCCCGAATACTGCGAACCCCCTCTGACTACGGGCCTGGCAAGCCTGGAAAAGCATTAAAATAGAATTACTTATCAGTATCTAAAGAAAGTCAATTTAGAGGTGTACAGTACGCAAATCTGTTTGCCTTTTAGAATTGTTTAACTTAAACATAAGTGTTTAACTTAAACATAAGTGTTTAACTTAAGTGTAAGTGTTTAACTTAAATGTAAGTGTTTAACTTAAATGCAAGTGTTTGACTAAAAGACATAGGCATATACATCTAAGCATTTGATTGTTCAATTTACAGAAGAACACCTTATTTTCATTTTTAAGATGTGTTCAACCTTAATCATCGCAGGTTAACTTTCAAAGTGTCCAACTTAAATCTAAGTTAAACCCATAGTTGTTCAACTTAGTATTGTAAACTTAAATAGGCATTCAACATACCTGTATATCTGGACAGTGTTCAAGGGGTCTTAATGTTAACCAATGATCTTTGCCGTGATATCTACTGAGTTCTTCTTTCCTAAGAGATGCCTTCCCAATTACCCTATCCTACAAAGGCAAAATATCTGAATCAAGGAAAGGAAGAGGGTAATTATCACAACAGATTTCGGACAGTCATATGTTGGATTTTGGCAATTTCCTGAGGATTTTAACAGGTGCATATGTTAGACCAATGCATTACCTCCCGGATAACCAATGCATTACCTCCCGGAAAAACCTACATACATGTATGACTGTCTGAAATCTGTTGCAATACTTTCCCTCCTCCTTCACTAATATTTGAATTGGAAATATTTAATGGATGAATACCAACATTTTATGATTTTGGTGCAAATGTGTAAGCATTATGGCCAAAGAGGAATAAACCATACGCAATTTTAAAGGGAGTGAAACAAGTTTTGTAAAGTGATTAATTTTTCTACATTAAGAGGATTCTAAGAGGAAATGACACAAGCTACATTTTTTACATTTAAACCCAATATACTACAACCCCTTTCGAAATATACGATCTTGAGAGCGTCATGTTCACAGTATTGGATGTCATGTATGTTTTTCAAGAACGTAATAAATCTGAACAAATTCTACTAACCACCTTTTGGGTTCTTTCAAACACAATAAACGAGACAAAGCGCAGCTTGTCTGTGACATCACAATGTATGTCCTCATTGTAGAATGGGCTGAAACAAAACAAAAATATAACAAGTACATGTAACTACAGGGTGACTCAAAAATGTTACCCTCTAAGTCTAGAATTATGATGGAATCAAAATAGAATGCAGATATAAAATAAAAACCTATTACACTACATAAATTGACTACAGTATATTTGAGGTTAAGATTTTATCAGCATAATGAGGAATTAACTGACATGCAAAATGTCACCACCTGCCATTTGTTACAGGCACTGAATGCCAACAACTGAACAGCAACCACCAATCCCAGAACACCATCTCAAAAAAGTTTGGGCTATAACTGTTGTGTCATAAAAGAACAACTTGTATTTTTACATCATATTTTATAGTTAAGGTTATGAAACAGCATATTTGTTTCCTTTTATCTATCTTCGCTGATAAGGCTCCTATTCAACTAAAGGTAATAAAACCATAAAACTTGAGATATTGTAAAGACTTATCAGTGAATATAGAATATAAACCCAGGTGCTGAGGGGTGTATAGGGAGTCTAGAGATGAACCTCGATTAAGAAAACATAACTAAAGTTCTTCTGTTCAGTTTGTTAGCCAAATCATGCTAATTACCTACTCTGATACCTATTAGTAACCAATCCACAAATCCTCTTAAAGCCAAGCACAACATAACAATATGTTACAACTTCTGTCTGTGACATAAAAACTGCAAAATCATTTAAAATAGTAAGAGAATACACAGAGATTCAGGGTAGATGGCGACTTACTTGCAATGCCTATCTATGGTACAGGTCTTGTGCGACACTCGATGTCCAAGGTCCAACTTGCAGTAAGTCTCTTTGCCAGTGGGACTGAACTGTAAATCTTTCGCTTCACCTAGAATTAATGGACACAGTACATTACTTTAGTATATTAATACAGTATATGCCTATGGGTGAATATGGACAAAAAAACAAACTGTCCAATGTACACAGCCAATATAATTCAGCACCGATTCAGCATCGCAAAAATTCGGCGCTGTTCCGGCACCGTTTCAGCACCGTTCCGGCACCAAAATTTCGACACCAAAATTTGGCACCAGCCTTTTGGCAGTCCATTTGGTGCCAAAACAGCACCGAAATTTGGCACCGAAACGGCGTCGAAAAGCAGATTGCATTTTGGGGGTGTATTGTAAGGACATAGTCAATTAAAGCAAGTTGGCTGGATAGAAATGAAAAGTCAAATGCTTAAGAGCAAATTAATGGCTGAAATGAAGAATAAATTCTCATATTGAATATTTGGCAAGCTACATGTAGTCCCTGGATATTTTCAATCATTAAATTATAGATTCAATATCACACTCTGCAATCATCAAAATAAAAAAGAGTCATTCTCGTTCATCTTCATTTAAAAACATGCAGAGCAAATTAGAAAATATAAAAGAGTCTATTAAATCAAATGAAGTTTCCCCAGCAATATCAAATGGTGAATCCCAGAAATCTACAGGGTCTTAATCTAAAAGATAAAAGATAACTGGATTCAAAGTCTACTATAAATATGATATTCATTATTCATATACTATGGGCTATCACTGAATAGACTGATGATAAGAGTCAGTGATCTCACACTCACAGGATACTAGTAAATATTAGTACTGTTAACTTCTACATTATAACAACCAATGACTATTGAACACAGATAAATATGAAGTTTGATGAAACTGGATAAAGAATGGTAAGAATATATAAAAGTGATTTAAACCTTCGGATAAATATTATAACTGTACGAAGAGTAATAATGTACCAGTGACTATTGTCAGGTCCTAACTTAAATACCAGTAACTTATGATCACATGATAAATACCAGTTACTAAGTAACTTCTTGTGCCTTCTGATCCATGGATAAATACCAATGACTGTAATAAATACTAATGACTGTAATAAATACCAATGACTGTAATAAATACCAATGACTGTAATAAATACTAATGACTGTAATAAATACCAATGACCTCTGATCCTGCAATAAATACCAGTGACTTTTGATATTATAATAAATACAATGACTTCTGATTCTACAATAATACCAGCTGTGACTTCTGATCCTGCAATAAATACCAGTGACTTTTGATATTATAATAAATACAATGACTTCTGATTCTACAATAATACCAGCTGTGACTTCTGATCCTGCAATAAATACCAGTGACTTCTGATATTATAATAAATACAATGACTTCTGATTCTACAATAATACCAGCTGTGACTTCTGATCCTGCAATAAATACCAGTGACTTTTGATATTATAATAAATACAATGACTTCTGATTCTACAATAATACCAGCTGTGACTTCTGATCCTGCAATAAATACCAGTGACTTCTGATATTATAATAAATACAATGACTTCTGATTCTACAATAATACCAGCTGTGACTTCTATCCTGCAATAAACACCAGTGACTTCTGATATTATAATAAATACAATGACTTCTGATTCTACAATAATACCAGCTGTGACTTCTGATCCTGCAATAAATACCAGTGACTTTTGATATTATAATAAATACAATGACTTCTGATTCTACAATAATACCAGCTGTGACTTCTGATCCTGCAATAAATACCAGTGACTTCTGATATTATAATAAATACAATGACTTCTGATTCTACAATAATACCAGCTGTGACTTCTATCCTGCAATAAACACCAGTGACTTTTGATATTATAATAAATACAATGACTTCTGATTCTACAATAATACCAGCTGTGACTTCTATCCTGCAATAAATACCAGTGACTTCTGATATTATAATAAATACAATGACTTCTGATTCTACAATAATACCAGCTGTGACTTCTGATCCTGCAATAAATACCAGTGACTTTTGATATTATAATAAATACAATGACTTCTGATTCTACAATAATACCAGCTGTGACTTCTATCCTGCAATAAATACCAGTGACTTCTGATATTATAATAAATACAATGACTTCTGATTCTACAATAATACCAGCTGTGACTTCTGATCCTGCAATAAATACCAGTGACTTTTGATATTATAATAAATACAATGACTTCTGATTCTACAATAATACCAGCTGTGACTTCTATCCTGCAATAAACACCAGTGACTTCTGATATTATAATAAATACAATGACTTCTGATTCTACAATAATACCAGCTGTGACTTCTGATCCTGCAATAAATACCAGTGACTTCTGATATTATAATAAATACAATGACTTCTGATTCTACAATAATACCAGCTGTGACTTCTGATCCTGCAATAAATACCAGTGACTTCTGATATTATAATAAATACAATGACTTCTGATTCTACAATAATACCAGCTGTGACTTCTGATCCTGCAATAAATACCAGTGACTTTTGATATTATAATAAATACAATGACTTCTGATTCTACAATAATACCAGCTGTGACTTCTATCCTGCAATAAATACCAGTGACTTCTGATATTACAATAAATACAACTAGATAATGGCAACTCCGCGGAGTAGCAAATCCCAACGAACAAAATATCAATTACCGAATTCCAATCAATTATACTCATTACTTTGGTTTAAAATTGAAAAAAATAGATTTTAGAATTGCGAATTCCTGCAAAGCAGCCATTTTGAATTTTCTGTGGTACAAATCTGAAAAATAATACGATAATTGTGATCTACTCCAAAAATCCTTCAATTTGAAATCGTACATTAGACGACCATTTTGAATTTTACGAGGCTCGAATCAGAAAAAAGATACAATATTTGCAATCTACTCTTAATTGCCTTTCAGTTGAGTATAATAAAGCTATACTTCAGAAAGATCTAAAAATTAGCGAAAATTTCTGTTTTCCTGACCCCCCATACATGGCCCCTGGGGGTCAGGATGAAAAACACAGAATATATGCAAAAAAGATAAATGTTGTGAATATACTACCAAAATTTCAAACAATAATATTAATTACTTTGGTTTAGAATGAAAAATTTATGATTTTTGCGAAAAAGTCCCGTCATTTTTAAAGTGGCGGCCATCTTGAAAAAATTTATTTTGCATAAAACTATTCACCAATATACATCTTTCCACTAAATATGAAGAAAATCCGTTTACTAGTATTCGAGTTATCTTCCGGACGGACAGACGGACGGACGGACGGACAGACAGACGGACTGACGGACGGACTGACTGACTGACGAACGGAGAGCTTCACTATATCCCTACCGAACTTCGTTCGTTGGGATATAACTTCTGATTCTACAATAATACCAGCTGTGACTTCTATCCTGCAATAAATACCAGTGACTTTTGATATTATAATAAATACAATGACTTCTGATTCTACAATAATACCAGTGACTTCTGATCCTGGGATAAATACCAGTGACTTCTGATCCTTCGAGAAATACCAGTGACTTCTGATCCTGAAACAAATACCAGTGATTTCTGACCCTGCAATGAATACTAGTGACATTTGATTTGAAATAAATGTGAGTGACTTTTGATCCTGCAATAAATACCAGTCAAAGGACTTCTGATCTATTGATTTCATTTAGATTCCAATTACTAGTGATCTTTACTGGATCTACAAAAATACCAAAGACTTAAACTACGGGAAGGAAATTCATACAGGATTTCAAATCGTCAAATGTCAAAATAAGCTGTTCATACTAGGATATACTAACTGGGAACACAACTCAAAAAAAATATTCTAATGCATGTGTTGGGAGTTAGTAATTTGTAATAAGTTCAAGCTTAATATGAAAGAAGATATGGATCAGCATGACACAATTACTAGTGACAGTAAAAATGGAGCTTTAACGAGCTCTAGTGAAAATGGAGCTGTAGCTTTAGTGAAAATGGAGCTGTAATGCGGTCTAGTGAAAATGGACCTGTAATGAGCTCTAGTGAAAATGAACCTGTAATAAGCTCTAGTGAAAATGGAGCTATTATGAGCTCTAGTGAAAATGGACCTGTAATGAGCTCTAGTGAAAATGGACCTGTAATGAACTCTTGTAAAAATGGACCTGTAATGAGCTCTAGTGAAAATGGAGCTATAATGAGCTCTGGTGAAAATGGATTTTCAAATGTGATATCTGTTTAAAGACATTTAATCGAGAATCTAGCCTTGCATCACATTCTAAGGTACATACCGAACAAAGACATTTCAAATGTGATGTTTGTCTTAAGACATTTAAATGCAAATCTCACCTTGTAACACACTCTATGATACATACTGGAGAGAGGATTTTCAAATGTGATGTCTATTTAAAGACATTTAATCGAGAATCTAGCCTTGCATCACATTCTAAGGTACATACCGAAGACAGACAATTCAAATGTAATGTTTGTCTTAAGACATTCAAACATAAATCTTCTCTTGTAGTGCATTCTAATATACATACTGGAGAGAGGATTTTCAAATGTGATGTTTGTCTTAAGACATTTAGCCATAAATCTCATCTTGTAACACATTCTACGATACATACTGGAGAGAGGAATTTCAAATGTGATGTCTGTTTAAAGACATTTAACAGAAAATTTACGCTTAAAACACATTCTAGGATACATACAGGTGAGAGGAAATTCCAATGTGATGTTTGTCTAAAGATGTTTAACCATAAGTCTAATCTTGTAACACATTCTAAGATACATACTGGAGAGAGGAATTTCAAATGTGATGTTTGTCTAAAGACATTTAAATGTAAATCTAGTCTCGTAAGACATTATAAGATACATATTGGAGAGAGGAATTTCAAATGTTATGTTTATCTTAAGACATTTACACAAAAATCTTCTCTTGTATTATATTATAATATACATACTGGAGAGAAGATTCTCAAATGCGCTGTCTGTTCAAAGACATTTTACAGAAAATCTTATCTTACAACAAATTCTAAGGTACATACTGAAGAAAAAATTTCAAATGTGATGTTTGTCTAAAGACATTTAAACACAAATCAACCCTTGAAATACATTCTAATAAACATACTGGAGAGAGGACTTTCAAATGAGATGTTTGTCTCAAGACATTCAAACAAAAAACTACCCTTGTAACACATTCTAAGATACATACTGGAGAGAAGAATTTCAAATGTGATGTTTGTCTAGATACTTTCATTACAAAGTCTGACCTTAGAAAACATCATATAATTCATACTGGAGAGAGGAATTTCAAATGTGATATCTGTCTTAAGACATTCATTACAAAGTCTAATCTTAGAAAACTTCATATGATTCATACTGGAGAAACTGCCATACATTTTAATATACATACTGGTTAGAGAAGTTAGAAATATGATCTTTGTTGTAAAACATTTATCAGTAAGTTAGATCTATGTTGGGGATACTGGGGATTAGAATTACAAATATGACGTTTGAGAATCTGAGAGAAGAAATAAGTAAAATATAAACATGATATAAGAGAGATTTGGCAACTCACTTATAGCATGTTTATTATTCTCATATAACCAATATACTTACATAAGTATGATATTCTTACATAAAGACAATGATTTATAAGAATAAGGGGGGGGGGGGAGTTCCTGCAGTACAGGAGTACTTTTGTATAAGACTTGTATTAAAATTCAAGTTTTGTGTAGTATGGATGATGGAAAAATCCTACTTGTATTAATATGCAGGCCCATAGCCAGGATTTGCCAATTTTGTTCACTTTTTGAAAAATTCCAGGGTGGTTCACTATCAACAACTTTCGCCCAAATATGACCAAAATCAAGTGAACGTGCTCAGAATGGTGAAAAACTGCATGATTTTGAAAAATATTTTGCCCCCCTGGCTACGGGCCTTATATGTGATCAGACCAGTAGAAGTAAGACAATCTTTGGATTAAATTGAACTGTCAATAACAAACAATGTTTATATCTGTAATCTTTGGATTAAATTGTACTGTCTATAACAAACAACATTTATATCACTAATCTTTGGATTAAATTGTACTGTCTATAACAAACAACGTTTATATCAGTAATCTTTGGATTAAATTGTACTGTCTATAACAAACAACGTTTATATCAGTAATCTTTGGATTAAATTGTACTGTCTATAACAAACAACGTTTATATCAGTAATCTTTGGATTAAATTGTACTGTCTATAACAAACAACGTTTATATCTGTAATCTTTGGATTAAATTGTACTGTCTATAACATACATGTAAGGTATACAATACCTGCCCATGTTATTTTCTGGTGCAAAATTAAAAAGGAAGACATGTGTGTAATTCCTTGATTTTTTCAGGAAAGTATCATAACATTGTCTTCTTTAAGTAAACCTGGTAAGAGACCAATGGTAACTCCAGGAAATGCTGATATTTCAAGAAAAACATTCAAAATGACTGCCTCTTCAATTTAAAAAAATTCCCCACGCACATACTGGATTGCCTATAATTCATTTCTAATTTACTAAACATAAGTTGCAACAAGGATGAATTTAAGAAAATAAGGGATTATATAATCCTCTAATGCCATTCAAGTGACATTTCTGTCTAAGGTTCAAAAGACTAGATGTATCTCTCTTATAGTGTTGATTACCTCATATTATCTTTGACACCAAATATATAATCCTTTAATTCATATAACTGATAACTGGATCCAATTGTGATGAATTAATATTAATTCAAATAACAAGTCTGTTATCTAATTGATCAGAAAGAATTGTACTACACAATGTACATGTACAAGGGTCGTTCGAAAAGTCTTAATTGAAAAGACATAATTGTGCAAACCTTTTTGAACAACCCTTGTATCTCTTATCTTCATTTGCTTTGGTGTAAATGGTAAGGTGTTAAGATGTATTTTCTCTTTTCTAGAGGTTATTGTAATGTTACCACATCAATTGTAATGTTACCACATCAATTGCAATGTTACCACATCAATTGTAATGTTACCACATCAATTGTAATGTTACCACATCAATTGCAATGTTACCACATCAATTGTAATGTTACCACATCAATTGTAATGTTACCAAATCAATTGTAATTCTTTGTATACATGCATAAATTAATGAATTGAACAATAAACTAAATAAAAAAGAAAATGTTCCTGTTGTAAAATATTATTTTGAACTAATTAGTATATCAGATAAAACATCCAATATCATAGATATCATTTTCGTCATTCGGATATTAAGGCAAAAGGGTGTAATGTCAAAATATTGAGGTGGTTATTGGTGTGATGCTCATAGATATCATTTTCGTCATTCGGATATTAAGGCAAAATGATGTTATGTCAAAATATTGAGGTGGTTATTGGTGTGATGCTCATAGATATCATTTTCGTCATTCCTATATTAAGGCAAAATGGTGTAATGTCAAAATATTGAGGTGGTTATTGGTGTGATGCTCATAGATATCATTTTCGTCATTCGGATATTAAGGCAAAAGGGTGTAATGTCAAAATATTGAGGTGGTTATTGGTGTGATGCTCATAGATATCATTTTCGTCATTCGGATATTAAGGCAAAAAGGTGTAATGTCAAAATATAGAGGGGGTTATTGGTGGGACACTCATAGATATCATTTTCGTCATTCGGATATTAAGGCAAAAAGGTGTAATGTCAAAATATAGAGGTGGTTATTGGTAGGACGCTCATAGATATCATTTTCATCATTCGGATATTAAGGCAAAAGGGTGTAATGTCAAAATATTGAGGTGGTTATTGGTGGGACACTCATAGATATCATTTTCGTCATTCGGATATTAAGGCAAAAGGGTGTAATGTCAAAATATTGAGGTGGTTATTGGTGTGATGCTCATAGATATCATTTTCGTCATTCGGATATTAAGGCAAAAGGGTGTAATGTCAAAATATAGAGGTGGTTATTGGTGTGATGCTCATAGATATCATTTTCGTCATTCGGATATTAAGGCAAAAGGGTGTAATGTCAAAATATTGAGGTGGTTATTGGTGGGACGCTCATAGATATCATTTTCGTCATTCGGATATTAAGGCAAAATGGTGTAATGTCAAAATATAGAGGGGGTTATTGGTGGGACACTCATAGATATCATTTTCGTCATTCGGATATTAAGGCAAAATGGTGTAATGTCAAAATATTGAGGGGGTTATTGGTGGGACACTCATAGATATCATTTTCGTCATTCCTATATTAAGGCAAAATGGTGTAATGTCAAAATATAGAGGGGGTTATTGGTGGGACGCTCATAGATATCATTTTCGTCATTCGGATATTAAGGCAAAATGGTGTAATGTCAAAATATTGAGGTGGTTATTGGTGTGATGCTCATAGATATCATTTTCGTCATTCCTATATTAAGGCAAAATGGTGTAATGTCAAAATATAGAGGGGGTTATTGGTGGGACGCTCATAGATATCATTTTCGTCATTCGGATATTAAGGCAAAAAGGTGTAATGTCAAAATATAGAGGGGGTTATTGGTGGGACACTCATAGATATCATTTTCATCATTTGGATATTAAGGCAAAAAGGTGTATAATTTCGAAACAATTGGAGACAGCTTTTGAAAAATCAGTTCACGTAACATTGAAATGGCAATTTGTGCAAAATGATGTTGGCGTTGATGACAATGAACAAAACTGGTCTCCTGGTATACAGTAACAGTAGGTTTGCAATATATAATAACTACTTTGGGTATATACCGAACTCTGTGGCAGTGCTAGTCTTTAACATTTCACTGCGGCTGGCAGTTATCTCAACGTAAGCATGACAACTTCGCATAAACAATTGACGTGATTGGTTCTAGTCCCATGTTCAGGTCGCGTGATTGTAAAATTTAGACAATTTCATTGGTGGATTGTGCGTATTAACTAATAAACAACACGTGCAGTAAACTGTAAACTATTATCAACACAACTTTTACTCCAAATCCCTTCCGCAGGGATTTCTTCTCATATTTCATTAATTTTGAAATATTTTGATAAAATAATGATTGGGGAACATAAATGAATACATACATGTATTTTATAAGTTGTGTGAAAATTGACCATATCTATGATGAAAAGGGGAACTATTTTCACCAAATTTGAGACACTGCATGGGAGTTTGGGTACATACATGTACATGCGCTTTATGAATAAATCAAAGAGTCATGTTATCCTCCAAATTTATATTATTAATAATTAAACCAGTAATGGTGATAATAATTATCAGTTTACAACAATTTTGTTTCACTGCCATTAAAGTTTCGTTTTTTCGGATTTTAAGATGAAAAAATTAATTTCAGAAATCGGTTAGAATAGCTTTGTTATTTATAATTCTTATAAATGAACATTTAATGCAAAAATATTATGTGGAATCATTTGATGTAGGGTGTTTCTACAACTTTCTATTTTATCGTCAAGTATCTTTCATATATTATCAGGAAAATTGGTTTCAATTGATCTAAAACTGGTGTTGAACGTATAGATAGCATGGCAGTTAAACCGATAAAAATCAAAATCAAAATCAGATCAATGAATTAAGACGAATTGGGTTTAACTTGTTGAACTAGCTCGATGCAAGAATAGAAAAGAAATGGCTTCCCGCTAGATCAGATATTAGAGCAAATAAACAACAATGTGTTGAAATTACCCGATATGTCAAAATTTCTCAAAAATCGATATGAAATTGCATCCACATTATACCCCTTTGTCATAGGAACTCACATATTTACTCCTGAATATTTGAAGTTTTGGCCATGGAGAAAATTTGGTTTCAGGTAGTCTAATATTCAAATGGCAAAATATATTTGTGATGTTCTATGGACCAGGCCTGGGGGCTACTGTATGAGATAAAAACCTTCAATATTATCGAATTCTACGACCACTTTAGATTGTGGTCGTACGCGCGAATCATTGATCAGTCAATGTTTTTACAAAGTTGGAGAAGATACTACGCATTGCACACCTAAATGACCTACCTCGATACATTCCTTAGTATTTTAGAATTCTTTTTATGTTGTTAGATCACCAATTGTATGAGTTTATCGGCAGAACGAAGAGATTTTAGTTTTTACATCGGAAATATGTCAGCAATTTTCAAAATGTCGGAAGGGGAATTCCCCAGGGATTTCCCTTATGACTGGTGCATGCCGGGAACTGAATGGAGGAATTTGACGGTTGAAATAAGTTGAATATTACACGCAAATATTGCTATCAAAAATGAAAACCTCTTCGTTCTGCCGATAAACCCATACAATTGGCGATTCAACTACATAAAAAGAATTCTAAAATACTAAGGAATGTATCGAGGTAGGTCATTTAGGTGTGCAATGCGTAGTATCATGGGCTTTCAACTAGCTAGTTGAAAGCCCATGGTAGTATTTTCTCCAACTTTGTAAAAACATTGACTGACCAATGATTGGCGCGTATGACCACAATCTAAAGGATTCGTAGGATGCGATAACCTCCAATATACATTTTTGACAGGAACAGTAAATCTATGAATCATGTTCATACCCTAAAAGCTAAAGTCAAAAGTGAAAGTGAATGATGAAAAATATTTTGAACACCATCATCATCGACCATGATCAATTCAAACTTGATTTGGATCAGGATACCTAATCATAGGAGACAGGTTACCTGAAAAGGAAGATAGATATCATTATCTCTTATCTAAACAAGGACTGAAACTGAGGCAAGTCTACCCTGGCTGAAATCAGCTCTGAAATAACAATTACTGCATGTCAAGCCGTCATTCAATGCTGATTTTGTAGAAAACAGATCTGTCCATCCTTCTACATGTGAGTTTTTCCCATAAAGATGCTTGATTAAGTAGAAATTCATCAAATTATACCCCTAGAATATCAAAGTTCAACTGTACATCAATCGCGTGAGGAAAAAAAACAAATCCATTCTTCACCTTCTGTTCACAAACCCTTCTTCTTCTTCTTGGAAAAGTTGTCCCTCATTTGACTTACAGCAAATGTGTATGTTAATGCAGCAATATATGTTAGTTTAGAAAATGATTAATTACAATCTTACCTGTACTTCACAGAAACATCCTAAGTATGAAAATATTTCACTAAAAATACATGCTTCCATTTTGTCACATGTTCATAATAATTTACATATTGACCATGTGATGTTGACAGGGAGTGTAAACGCACCTAGCGTACAGGAAATATGTTATGATATTTATTAAGAAATTAGGTATGGTAATCATTATTAATTAAGCATTAAGTATTAAGCCCCCAACCCACTTCACAAAGTTCATGAAGTACCAAGGAAAGACCAAATATTAAATAAATTAGAAAAATTTGAATTCCCCAAAAAATCAAGTGGGCGATAATAGAGCCTCTGAAACATGGCAAAAGTGACATATTTTGTAATTTTCAATGCATACTCCCGATAATTATCTATCATTGTGTGCTTTCCACACCATATCAAACTAATATTATCTAAAAATAATGTATGTAATAAGTTAATGAAGGAAAAATTTAATGTTTCAGAGACTCTATTATCGCACACTTGATTTTTTGGGAAATTCAAATTTTTCTAATTTATTTAATATTTGGTCTTTCCTTGGTACTTCATGAACTTTGTGAAGTGGGTTGGGGGCTTAATACTTAATTAATAATGATTACCATACCTAATTTCTTAATAAATATCATAACATATTTCCTGTACGCTAGGTGCATTTACACTCCCTGTCAACATCACATGGTCAATATGTAAATTATTATGAACATGTGACAAAATGGAAGCATGTATTTTTAGTGAAATATTTTCATACTTAGGATGTTTCTGTGAAGTACAGGTAAGATTGTAATTAATCATTTTCTAAACTAACATATATTGCTGCATAAGCATACACATTTGCTGTTAGTCAAATGAGGGACAACTTTTCCAAGAAGAAGAAGAAGGGTTTGTGAACAGAAGGTGAAGAATGGATTTGTTTTTTTTCCTCACGCGATTGATGTACAGTTGAACTTTGATATTCTAGGGGTATAATTTGATGAATTTCTACTTAATCAAGCATCTTTATGGGAAAAACTCACATAAGGATGGACAGATCTGTTTTCTACAAAATTAGCATTGAATGACGGCTTGACATGCAGTAATTGTTATTTCAGAGCTGATTTCCAGGGTAGACTTGCCTCAGTTTCAGTCCTTGTTTAGATAAGAGATAATGATATCTAGACTCTATCTTCCTTTATTAGGTAACCTGTCTCCTGTGTACCTAATGACATCTCATTGATCAATATATATTCTTGCCTTACACCTGTCAACATTTTGTGTTAGAACATACTCATACATACCTATTTTCACGCGCAGAGTTTCTTCAATTTTGACAGCTTCATTTTCCATTTTTTCTGTGACCTTGACCTACCTGAGTTTAAGACCCCTTATAACAACAAACCAAGAACATTCTCAGATGCTTTTATTGTTAATTGATTTATATTTATTACAAAAGTTTTTGGTTACGAAATACTTGAAAAAGTGTACAATTGTATATTGTACAATTTGACTGTTTGACAAATGAGGTAAACAAAACTTAATGTTTTCGTTTCTTCTCACATTCGCACCTGCGTTTTACATTTAGTAATAACCCGATGACAAATTGACATCTGTGAAATTGTTTCACATTTCTGCGAATCTGTGACAAAAGTAGGTAAATTTCAATCATATTTCCCGGTTACGGGTGTAAAGTTCATATCAATAAAGATCATGTAAAAGTTTGACATAGATCGTATGTTTGAAAATTTCACAATCCAGGGTTAGAAATTTGCAATTTTCTTTTCAGGTGTTGTCACCTGGAACCGAGATGTTGATTACAAGTTCATCGTGACTCAGACTTACAATGACTTTATTACACGCTCATTTAGACGTAGGCTAAAGTAAACATTATAAAATGACAACAGGGGTATAAACATATGGATCAGTAGAACTAAAATGAAGTTGGATATAGAGTGATGAATTGTTTTCCATGACATGACACCTGTTACGATGATGCTACCTGCGCGAGTAATGCTCCTGTGTGTACTTTGCTATAAAGGTATGTGAGACATTTTCTAAAAAAAACGATCTTGTTTTTATTAACCAGGTATAAAACAGTGCATTAGGTCCGCCCCCTTTAATAAATTCAGAGTGCCATGTATCTTGTATGTACATGTATCTTGCGGGTGTGTTCAATCCACAGGAAGTTGTATCAAGACCTTTTTGGGCCTTTATGGGCTTTTGCCCCCCTCCCCACCTCTCATAAGAGATGAGTTCATCTGTTCTGAAATTCGGGAAGGGCAAAAGGCTCCGTTAGGGCCCTAAAAGGAAAGGTCTTGATACAACTTCCTGTGGTTCAATCCTGGAATTCTTTTACAATAAACCTACATGTAAGAGGCTGAGGGAAGTATTCATATGATTCATTCTTGATTAATCATACTTATTTGTTAACATAACATAATTTTGTATTTATTCATTCAAGCTCAAGCTGATTCAACAAAAGCATAATGAGAGCCCTGAGTTTGCTCGAACCCCCCCCCCCCCCCCCCTTATAACCTGCCCCCCATCTCCCCTGGCTATGGGCCTGCCATTTTACCCCTTTTGGTACATAATCTCTATAGATATATGAGATTTTCTGCATTGTGATAACTGGCAATGACTGTACAATGAGAGAGTGGTGATAATTACTGTTTCTGGTATTTCCATATCATTGACTACATAAATGTATACATGTACATGTAGGTCTGTTCTCTCTATTCCTCAGATATACATGTATGTATTCTCGTCTTTGTTTTCCATATTTTACATTTTAAATTTTAGACCATCATTTCTCACAGGAACCAGTGTAGCTCTTCAGAACTCCATGTTTTGAAAGCAATAATTGTTTTACATTGCAAACAACAACCACAATGAAGGTGATTTATACAATGATGACAACGTTCTGCTTGATTTGGCACGGTTGGAATCACTAGTGCTGCCATCTATAGTGATTTCTATCTTGCCATTTTGAGAAGAATTGATAAATCAAAGGAGCAGTGAACTTATCATTAAAGGAGCAGTTTTTTTTTTAAACAATAGGTTTATTTCATTGATATACTTTTCATGGCATAATACACAATCATGAAGGCAAATCACCTTCTGGCATTTTATGTCCGCTTTCAATTACAATGTTACATATAGATATACGAAAAATTCAAGAAAAATAAAACACACCCACTGTTTAGATGTGGCATGTTATAAATGAAGTGTACTGACGGGGACCTGCTGCAACATAGATGGGGCGACCAATTACACTTAGGGGTTGAGTAAGTGGTGTCTAAGGTAGTCAGATTATGTACAACCATGTACAACCATTAACAAAGCAGTGATCCTTCCAGATTTCTCAACATTTTGTTATTTTGAAATGAAGAGTGAAATTGTCGGGAAATATTTAGTAAGCTGTCATGCAGATAACACTATAAGTTAATATGTAGAAATTTTAGTTACTTAGACACTTAATCCATTTTTAGAGAGAAATTAAGGGAAATTAGCAAGGAATTACATAAACAGGCATGTAGTCAACACTAAATTGTATAGAAATCTAAGAAAATCAGACAGTTCATTCTCATTTCTAGAGAGAAATTAAGGGAAATTAGCAAGGAATAAAGTAAACAGGCATGTAGTCAACACTAAATTGTATAGAAATCAGACATTTCATTCAAATTTTAGAGAGAAATGAGTGGAATCAGCAAGGAATTACATAAACAGGCATGAAGCTGACACTCTAAATTGGATAGAAATTCAAAAAAATCAGACACTTCATCCAAAGTTTAGAGATTATAAAGGAGAGAAATTGGCAACAAATATAAACAGGCATGTAGTTAACATTGTATATTGTATACAAATCCAGGGAAACATATTCCTCATTCAAATCTGTGTGAAATAAACTTTGGGGGAAATTTAGATGGGCAAAGCCTCTTTAAGTGAAAAGGATGAGTAATCATGATCATAATATGTAAATACACTAAATCAATAAAACATGACCAATAAAGTGACTATGACTGATAAGGGCGATAATGTTGAGATTTGTTTGTTCAAGATAACTATGTTTTCCATTCAAATCTCTAACTAAATATAAAGTTTTGATGTGTATGGTATATTGTTGTCCAAAAATGTACAGAAGGGTGATGAATGAAATTCTGTGTTAAGGGCTTATGTGAAAAAATCCCCCAAAGTATAGAGTATTCATGATAGATACCAATTTCAGGACAATTAAGAAAAAAACTCAATATAGTCTCCAATTTTTTTGTTAAAGGAGTTTGGCATTTGATGGTCAGTCAAATAAACAAAGGAAGTGACATTTCGTCATGTTAATGCCTTTTCTTATTTGCAATATATGAGCCAGGCCACAGGAAAAGGTGTCTTATCACAGATTTTTTCAATATTTTGATTTTTTGTTTATCTTAAAAAGCACAAAGAGACCTTTCAAATGAGCCATGGCTTATGTCTTAACAATTTTTTCTTGCAGATATAGACCAAAAGACAGATTTGAATTTAGCACATTTTCCTCTTAATCTTGAGCTCATTTTTGACTCTGTAGCACAATTTTATTTTTTGCGATAAGACCGGTTTTCCTATGGCCAGGCTCAAATACCTATTTATCGTATGGTCTGTAAATTGAAGCCCTTTGATTGGTCAGTTCTTGTGTTATACCACCAATCTGTATTGCTGCTGATATTGTCCCTATTGATCATCTCTGGGGCAATACAGAAAATATTAGTACTGAGGGAACAATTTCGACTTCGTCTCTTTCCAATACAGAATTTCTCGAGCAGAATATATCTTGTATTAATGCACTTCAAATCATTCAATAACTTTATTATGAAGTTTCTTGGAAGATATGCTAAACATTCATTTATTTGCTTGGGCCTTAATTTTTCTTTCTTGGCTTTATGTATTTGTAATATAGTTTATCATTGTACCATTTGTGTAATTCCAGGCATGGCTGAGAGTACACAAACACCATCAACCTCTAGTGTGGCCCAAGGAGTTACAAATACATCCACAATTTTGACTCAAACAGTTGAAAATGTTTCCATGACAGCTACTACATCAGTTAACAATGTAACGATAAAGACCCCCTCATTGTCTGATATTGACAATGTTACCATGACAACTGTGCTATCTTCTGTAGTGGACAATGTTACCATGACAGCCCCCTCATCTTCTAAATTGGAAAATGTTACTATGGCGACCACTTTGTCTTTTGAAGGTAATAATGTTACCATGACAGCCACAACTCCAACTGCATTTCCTACCAATGGTACAACCCCAAATATATTCCTTAGCAACAGTACAACACCAAATACATTCCTTAGCAACAGTACAACCCCAATTACATTCCTTAGAAACAATACAACTGCAAGCACATTCCTTAGTAACAGTACAACCCCAAGTACATTCCTTAGCAACGGTACAACCCTTAGTGCATTCCCTAGCAACAGTACAACCCCAAGTACCTTTCCTAGCAATAGTACAACCCCAAGTACATCCCTTAGCAACAGTACAACCCCAAGTACATTCCTTAGCAACAGTACAACCCCAAATACATTCCTTAATAACATTACAACACCAAGTACATTCCTAAGCAACAGTACAACCCCAAGTACATTCCCTAACAACAATACAACCCCAAGTACATTCCCTAGCAATAGTACAACCCCAAGTACATTCCCTAACAACAATACAACCCCAAGTACATTCCCTAGCAACAGTACAAACCCAAGTGCACCCCTTGCCAATAGTACAACTGTAAGCTCATTTCTTAATCATTCAAGTGCAGTTCCCTCCACTGGGACAAACAATGGAGATTTCAATTCTACAATGCCAAGTACAGACATGCCAACCACTACAGGTGCTACAACAAGCTCAATTACAACAAACCACTCAATTACAACATTAAACTACTCAACTGCAACAGTGAAGTACTCAGCTACAACTGAATCTTTTTCAAATGTGACAATATTTGACAATACAACTAGTATGTATAATGCCACAACTATTGTACCAACTAATAGTACAATGCTACTTGGTAACATTACAACAATAAGCTATTATGCTACAACCCCACCGAGTAATGAAACAACAACACCGAGTTATGTTACAACATCACCAAGTAATGTTACAACAAGTTATGCAATATCACTACCAAGTAATGTTACAACACTATTAAGTAATGTAACAACAGTACAGAGTGATGTCACAACAACACCAAGTAATGTTACAGTTCCACCTAATAATATAACAACACTCAAGAGCAATTTTACAACACCCAGTAATGTTACAACACCACCGAGTAATGTTACAGTTCCACCTAATAATATAACAACACTCAAGAGCAATTTTACAACACCCAGTAATGTTACAACACCACCGAGTAATTTCACAACATCGCAACCAGGATTTATAATCACTACTGCGCAGTTGATGAATACAACAGTTTTTAATACTACAAGTGTGGAAATTACAACACAAGCTGTTAATGTAACATTGGAAATTACAACTCCAGTTCTGAATGCTACTTCATCAGAGAACAATACTCAACTGGAAACAACAACATCTAAGTTGGAAAATACAACATATTATCCATATATAAATACAACAGTTTTACCAGTGAATATCACTACTCAAAGTATGAATGTTACAAATGGTACAATAATAAAGGAATCTACAACACTTGATTTTACAACAATTCCTAATACAACATTGATAGTGACTACAACAGTTTTGGAAAATACAACATTACCAATGGTAATTACAACAAAAACCCAGTCAGAGGAATCTACAAGTGCTGTACCAACAACAGAAATAACAACTGAGAAGGCAACTACAACAACTGAGAAGGCAATTACAACTAAAACCCCAACTACAACAACCAGACAACCTACAACACAGAGTACAACAATGGAAATTACAACACACCAGGAAACAACAACACCTGTAATCACAACCCCTACAACACCAACGGAGACAACAACTATTACAACAAAACCAAATGTTACAACATCAACCACAACAGCTGTGCCAAATACTTCAACAGTAACACCTGCACCAGTTACTACATCAACATCTGTTCCTGATACAACATCAACAGCTGTAGGTGCTAATACAACAGCAACATCTGTATCTAATACAACTGCATCAAGTAATGGTGAGTATTATTTAATAAATCTATGTACTAAATAATACATGTATATATAAAGTACATGTATTTCTACATAATGATAAAGAACTGAATAAAGAACTATACTTTCTCGTCTAGTATTTTGGTAAAACAGTAAGGGGTTTGCTTCACTTTGCTTGCCTAAACAAGCAACATCTGCAGGCCGGTAGCCAGGATCTACTGAGGGGGGGTTCACTTTTTAAGAAATTCCAGGGGGTTCATTTTTGACAACTTTGGCCCAAAAATGGCGAAAATCACTTGAAATGTGCTCAAAATGGTGAAAAACTGCATGAACCCCCTGACCCCCCTCCCCCTCCCCCTGGCTACGGGCCTGATCTGTGTACTGGTCAGACAGAACTTTTTCATATTTTTATGTCATCACCACAAGTGGTGACATATTGTTAAAGTCTTCAACTTTTTTGTGGACAGTGTTCAGCTTTTGGTATTTGGCAGGCAGCATCTGTATCAAATGTAACTAATGGCAGCTGATGACATTTTGCATGTTAATGCCTTGTTCTTTCTTGTAATCTCTTGCAGACCTTTTTCTCATTAGAATAAATTGCATTGAGCCTTATTTCTAATTTCTGCTGATTCCATTCTATTTTGCATTTTATACATGACCCCCTTTCGCCATTTCAATTCTCACAGGATCTAATACAGAACTACCATTATGGAAACAGCAAGTGTTTGTGAACTACACAGATTGGGCTGGAACATATATCTACCAAGCCAAGCCATACAGATTCACTCTCCATGTGCAGGGGAGTGAAACTGCAGACTATGATACAGATGGGGACATTCATGCTCGTTTTAATGACGGAGAAGCAGTTCTGGAATTGAGAGGTGAGTATAGGTTGGGCCACAAAAGATTTTTTATTTATTAAAATTATTTATTCAAAAACATAAACACAAAGTACATAAACATAAAAAATATACATACACAGAACATGACAGATGAACTGATGACTTAAAGGGGCAAATGTTGAGAAAGCCAACTGAAATGTTTGAAATGGACAACCTACCAACTCTATGTAATGTTAGATATGTCAAGTTGGTTTAAAACACTATCAATTGTAAAATATTTGGCATGAACAGGGTGACCCCCCCCCTACCCCAAGAAAACTGTCAATAGAATATTTTTTATTTATATTTGTGCAATCAGCCTTGTGTTTTAGTAACAGAAATCAATGGATGACGATCATCAAAATTATTACATTCTGTACATCATTCATAATGCCATTGACAATCCAAAAAAATAAATAAAAAATAGATTATTTTCAATTTTAACTTTAAGTTATGTTTTTGTGTCACCCTGTATATTGGCCCGTATGTCACTCATGATACATAAACCTGTCATATTTTTAGGAAGTTGGACACCTAATCAGACCCCACTAGAGAGCATGCCAAAGCCTTTAACAGGTAAATGAAGTTTAATCTTTTTATAATCACCAAGTGACAATTTCATACAGAAATGATCAGCATTTGAATTTGACATCTGTAACAAATGTCACACTTTTTTATCTGTAACAAATGTCATACTTTTGCATTTGTAACAGATGTCACATTTTATATCTGTTACAAATGTCACAATCTCTATATAGTATCTGTAATAAATGCCACATTTACATCTGTTGAAAAAAGATTCTGTAAAATATGAGACCATAGTCCTGCCTATCTCTTACACTATACCCATGCTTAAGCCTCTTTCAAGCTAAAATTGATTATTAAGTCTTACATGTTAAACTCTAACAACTTTATAGGTCAACAATTTCCTTCTAAGCTGGTCTTCACAGTCAAGAAAGTTGTTACTCCAAGCGAGAAAATCAAGAGTGTTTATTGGTCAATTATTGGTGATGTCATCACGCAAGACGGGAACTTGACATATGCAGGAATTGTCCAGACTAATACAACTGGCTTTGGCAACCTTACTATGCAGCCTTATACAGGTAAATTGTCTATTTTTCAAGTTTATTGTTTATTTCTCAAGTTTATTGTCTATTTTTCAAGTTTATTGTTTATTTCTCAAATTTATTGTATATTTTCAAAGGTTATTGTTTATTGTTCATTTCCATGCTTATTTTCTATTTCTGAAGCTTATTGTCTTTTTCTGCAGCTTATTGTCTATTTCTTAAGTTGATTGTATAAACAAGCTCAAGTTTTTGACTAATAGGCTAGTTTGTCTGTTAACAAAAGGTATCTATTTCTCAAGTTTATTTTTTATTTCTCAAGCATTTAACATTTTGAAACATGGCATAATATTGGGGTGAAACTGCCCTGAAGAGGTTAGGTATAGACTGGCTTGAATTCATGCATTGACTGACTACCTTGTATAGAGATTCCACAATAATTCAGATTTTGAATGGTATATGTTACCATGGCAACAAATAATGAGACTTGAGTTGTTGTGGCTTGATTAACTTTTTTTTTTTTTTATCTTTCAATCTATCTTTATTTCTTTTTAAAATATGTTTTACAGTACAAATCTACATAATTGCATTAATTGATTAACTTAAATGTTACTGAGACATAGGCAGGCTATAGGCATATTCAGGTTTTATAATATTCATTACATATTTTGGTTTAGAATTTGGCCAAATAAAAAAACTTTGCAAATGTTAAATAGCCTTAGATGGTTCTGACTTTTTACATTTGCCACATAAAACAATTAGGGTTTAGGATGAGATTGATTGATTTCGCTTTGGTATTCTCCCTTCTTTGCAATAGTGCAGTGTAGATTTAATTGATTTAGATATTTAAAAATGGTATTATTTGTTGAAATTCTGTAAAACAAAACATTTTGAAGAATGTTGGAACAGTTCAATTAACATACTGTTGTTTGCATTTGACATCTTATGTTCTCATATCTCAGGATGTCATTTAAGTTGAGTTCATAAATAACAAAATTAAAATTTATATGCATCACATCTAGGTTTATTCATAAAATAAAAGAATAACAGTAGTATATATTATGAATATAATGATTCAAACAGAAACAGACATCAGAATATCACTCAGTGTTTGAAGATAGAGTTAAGTTAGACACCGCTACAATGTCATTTCTAAATAGCTTAGCATAGAGAAATATTTGGTATAGTTGTTCCACACTTAGTTGAAAATCTTGTAAGAGCTTAGTTCTGACGATCCTTGTCATGATATTTAGGCATTATTGTGCTTGTCATCTCTTCATATTCTGAAAGTAAAAATTGGACAGATGATAGTTGAGATACATGTATTTCCAGAAATGAAGGTTTGATGATCTTTGTCATGTCAGGGGCTCTGGGCAAAAGATCTTTCAAAATTATGCAGTTTTTCACCATTCTGAGCACTTTTTAAGTGATTTTCGCCATTTTTGGACCAAAATTGTCACAGGTGAACCCCCCCTGGAATTTTTCCAAAAGTGTACCCCCCTTGGCAAATCCTGGCTACGGGCCTGTATAGTCCAAGTTAAGTTTTAGATCATCATTAATTAACATTTTTTTGGATAATTTTGGATGGTAACCGGACAACTCAAATATAGTTCATTGTTATCTGGGTATTGTATTATTCAATTATTACGTCATAAATAATATATAACTGTCAATTTTAAAAGTATTCTTTATAAAGCAGGTTGGATGACCAGCGAAACGTCGAAAATAAAGATCATTTCTCTCTGAAGTAAATGAACAAGAGTAACATGTATTTTTATTTTTTTTTATAGTAACATCTATATTACATTATATATGTTCAACCAGGTACAATGTAAACACATGACAATTGGCCATGTATATGTAATTACATAATCTACATTTTCTGAAAAAAATGAGAGGGATTTGGGAAAAAATCACAAAGTGTGAGCATTTTTATCAAAATATATGGATCGCCCCTTAAATAATCCAGCTGACCTGGTAATGTTTTCCATACAATAATTCAAAACTTTTATGACTATAAATACATGTAGTTTAGGCTACTCAGGTTCAACAGATATGTACGCAGCTATGATTTATGAGCAAATTAGAAATAAATGATACAATTACTTGATTTATCCAAATTAAAAAAAAAATCAACCTGTTAACTTGGATAATTAAATTCGAAATCAAAAGTGTTTAAGAATGTAGATTTGCAAAAATGTTTACTGTTATTTTTAAATTCACATATAGCTAGGCAAGGTGTGTCCGATTCCAGCCAATCCGAACACAGTATTTCACATGACAGCAGTGCATCAATAACACATTTGTTTTGTATGGTTGTCAAGGTGAAGAGATTGAAATTGATCCTTTCCCAATACTTGACCCTTGCAAAACGTTTATTGAAAATATGTTCTTTTAGTGATTTTGTATCTTTTAGGTGCTTTTGTAGAAAATATTTTGCAATGTGTGAAAAGAATTTATGCCCAAGACTCAATGCATTGTAGCTGCATCATTCCACTCAGGCTTTGTTTCCTAAACTTTGCATTCCCGCTATACGTGGTCATGCAAAGATTTGGAAACAACCTTCATGGTATGATTCAGCAAACAATGCACTGAGTCAAGCGCATAAATCCTTAAATATATTTTAGAATAATTTTGACTATAATCAGAAAATTGTTCACTGAGGATTACTAACTAAAAATTACTAACTAAAGACTACTCACAGTTATTGTTTTGTTTGGGAGCAGACAAAAGACGTCTGGCCTGATCATCAACAGATCGAGATTGACGCAATTTCCCTTGATCTTCAAATGCTCTTTCATCAGCAGCTCTCTTAGGTTTATAAGGTTTAGGTTTAGGTTTTGTGGTTTCCTCCTCCGTGCTATCTTTCATATCATACATTGGTGGATCATAGATAGCTACAAATCTTGCTGATGTGCTGTGTATGGTTATGGCCAGCACAAACAATACAGAGATCAACACATAAAAACTCCTCATTTTATTATTTGCTTTGTTGTAATTTTCAGAATGTTGGTTGTAAATTTTGTTGTTATTTTACTGTTGGAATGTATGTCTTCGTGATTCTGATCTATGTGAGGAACTAACGTCAAGGACCAAACCTTTATATATAAAGCAATGGGTTGAATGAATCATATAGATTATACGAGGGGCGATCAATAAGAAATCCCATAGTTTCATTTGAAATGTTCTTTTGTAGGTTAATATATTACCTTTTATCATTGGAGAATGCCACTTGTATTTGTAGGTCAGATATAATATTGATGTAAATAGTACTAATTATGTTCCTTTGGGTTTTAAAATTTCAAATAATGCATGAAATGCAATCTCTGTTCAAGAGAGATGTTCCAAAATAGACTCTGAATTCAAACTGACTGCTATTTTTTGGTAAAAAATCTGATATTTTCATTGTAAATTGAATATTTTTTGAAGAATTGCTTTATACAAGCGGGAAGTCCATTAATCCATATAAGCCACAGTCATGGAAAAATCAGACTTTTGGAAAAGGTCAGGAAAATTCAGAATTCCCTCAAAAATCGTCAATAAATTTTACAATGTGAGAACTACTAAATTCATTTGAGGTTAATATGCAGTTAATATGCAATTTGTCACATTTACTTATTTTTGTAAAAAAACAATGAATGTCAGAGAATTTCATCCTTGAATCAGGGAAAAGATATATTATTTTGAAAACTTTTATGGCAATCCTGGGTTTTCATAGAAAAAAACTATATTAAAATGTATTACATATTTTATCTTCAGATTTCCTTTGTTGATGAATAATTGAATACTGCATCACTTATTTGTGAAAAGAACAAAGAAAAATACTGTGCCTCAAGAGTCCATAACTTATTGACCACCACTCGTATAAATCCCAGAAAATGAGTGATTATATCACAGCAAAGAATGTACACACAGCTGCCATTCAAACACAGAAAGCAAAGAAACCCCTGGCAACACAATCCAATCAGCCATAAGAAAAAACAAACACCTTGATTCTAGTATACAGAGAATCTATCTCTATCATCCCCCCCCCTCAACACTATCCAGAAATTGATACCATTTCAAACGTCCTTTCATGCATCCCTAAATTTTCAAAAGGGATGGCTTGAAAAGATGCCAGGGTTCAAACAGAAGAATAACTCCTTACTTGCGTAATAGTCAAAAAATAATAAATTACGAAACTATAAAATCGTGGGAACTAGGTATTTCTAGTATTGTGTAACCCTCTATGGCAAACAACCCATATTTGTAGAGTTTCGGAATAACACAGGTTTGGTTCCAATTATGTTTACCAATTAAAGGTTGCAATTTTATAACACTGAAGCGGATGTGTACTTAAAGTTATATGGTCAAATATATCAAATATATTTGAGGACAACTTCCTCCTGTTTTGATCTTGTTACATCTCTATGATTTGGATAAATATACTTGGCAGGGTCTGAAACCAGTCAGGGTTCTCACCAGGAAATTTTTAGATTTATCGCCGTATCGCGACTACTCCCCATGTGAGATCAGACATATCCCATTAGAATACTTTTCAAAATTTTACTTAAGATTATCTTCCTATTTCAATCACACTATACATTTCTAAAAGGTGTCCGACTTCCTATTCCTTGTTTGTATCCATCATGATATACCATGACATCTCAAATCTTCTCAGCCCTGAGATGCCATGATATAATGAGCTTGATTTGGCGATCTAGGAGAGCCCAAAATTGAGGATTTTTAAGATCTTTCATCCCAGCTCATATTTCATCTAATTGGGGTCATAAAACTTGTGTAACTGTGCCTGTTGTAATATCTGCTGTTAAATACAATGCCTATTATGTAATGTATTGACATTAAGGAAGACGATTACATGATAACAATCACACTTATTGACAGTTATAACTCTTTCCATCTGATGTGCTCAGATCACAAAATATGCCTCATAATATCAGAGCATGTTTGTTTCAGGTGAAACAGAAAGATGCTATGAGTATCAGAATGGTTTGTATCCAGTTTGGTGTATTTTCTCAATTAGAGTTTTACCTCAAATAATGTGACAAAAAATGTAAATTTAGACTCCAGAAAAAACACTTTAGACTCCATAAAAGGTATTAGACTCTGGAGCAAGAGGGTCTAAAGACATTAGACTCTAGGGAATCTCCTGCGTCTAAAAGCCAAGTGAGAACCCTGCTAGTGCTGCATATGCGCCTGTGACATAAGCCTCAATTGTTTTTGTCAAGTATATTTTTGAAAGTACCTTATGAACATCGAACAGTTATCCAATAAACCATTCATAGGCAGCAGACAAATAAAAACAAATAACATAATCATTACTGATAAGCCAAATGGGTTGCTCATGAACACCAAATGCAAGGTAAAGTAGAGTGCACACACCTTTTGGAAAAGCGTCTGATGGGTCTGGTACTTAATCACTTATTTTATATAATCCTTACTCCTGTATAACATTCATATAAAATAATAATATTAAATGTATAATATGTAATAATTGTTATTTAATTTTTTTCAGATGAGCCAGTAACACCTCTGCCTTCAAGTACTAAGGACTCAAATAGAACTCTAACAATCGTACTTGCAGTCACAATTCCCATAATCATTGTCTTGCTCATTTGCATAATTATCGTCTGCTTAATGCGAAAAAGAGGCTATTGTATCCGGGCACCAAAAGAGCGTCAAACAATAGGATTTGAAAATCCTGTGTATGAATTCGCAAATGCAAGTGAAATGAATCATTCACACCCTTTGTGGTAGTCTTGTAAGTTTCTCCCTTAGGAGTCAATGGGAGATAGGTCAAAGTGACCTCAACAATAGCTGGATCAAGAGACATTTTCAGTAAATTCCTGCCATCTTTAGGTGAACCAAAGAAACTAAGTAATATAATATCAAAAGGATTCATGACGTTTTAAGATGCAAATAGTAGTTTAAAAAATAACTACATAATGATAGTTTCCTGTACATTTGTATCTATGACATCATGTCCAATAGGTGGCAGGATTTACTGGAATGGTCTATTTCAATAAAAATGATGGCACTGATCATAAGAGTATGCCACAACAGTCCAACCAGAGATTTTAGCACAAAATTAGAGAAACATCAAAAGAAATGGTCATTATCTACCATTTATTTAATTTACTTATTTTATAATTATAGTTCAATATGTGTCGCCAAATTATTGTAAATGTTGAATCTGTAATGTGCATGTAGATACAGGTGCCTTATTTGGGAGCTTTTAACATTTTTTTGTACAAAATGTATTTTTGTAATTTTGTCCTCGGTTTCCCAAAGATAGTTGAGTTTTGTCAGAACTAAATTGCAATTGATGAAGTTAAGTAATGTCTTTCCCATAAACTTAACAAAAAAAAAAGTTTCATCTACATTTGGATATGGGTCCTACCTGTACATGTAAATACACATGTATATTTTCAAGATAGGTCTGAAACATTGTAATATATTGATATTATATGAATTACCGGTGATATTATTTTGTGGGGGGTCTATGGAGATAAGGTACAAGGTGTACACGATTCAGGGAATTCTAATAGCCCCCATGGAAGTGATATTCTTATGGGAAAACTATGGTTATTTTAAGTAAAATGTAGGAATAAGCAGTTCATTCAAATTTTTACAAAGAAATACAGTGAAAATAACATGAACAGACGGACATTGCAAACAAAACTCACTTTAACATGAGTCTCAATTTCAGCTGCATGTATCAAAGGTCTCAGTAACAACTATCTGAATTACAGCTTCATGTATTTATATCTTAGTTACGCATGATACAGCTGTAAATAATATTAATCTCAGTAACATCTGAATATGTTTTTGTCTCAATAATAGCTGCATTTACTTGCATTCTCCTTAACAGCTGCATGTAGTTTCTGTCTGAAGTACATGTAGTTTGATCACAGCTACATCTTGGTACAGCCTCCATAAAAGCTGCATCTAGGTACAGTCTCAGTGAAAACTTCATGTAGTTCAGGCTCAGCTGAATTTAGGTATAGCCTCATTGATAGCTGCATTTAAGTACAGTATCAGTGATAGCTGCATTAAGCTACAGCCTTATTGATAGCTACATTTAGGTACAGCCTCAGTAGTACCTGCATCTAGGTACAGCCTCAGTGCTGCACTGAAAGTTGCATCTAGGTACAGCCTCAGTAGTAGCTGCATTTAGATACAGCCTTATTGATAGCTGCATTAAGCTACAGCCTTATTGATAGCTGCATCTAGGTACAGCCTCAGTGCTGCAGTGAAAGTTGCATCTAGGTACAGCCTCAGTAGTAGCTGCATTTAGATACAGCCTCAGTGATAGCTGAATTTAGGTACAGTCTCAGTAGTAGCTGCATTTAGATACAGCCTCAGTGATAGCTGCATCTAGGTATAGCCTCAGTGCTGCAGTGATAGCTGCATCTAGGTACAGCCTCAGTGATAGGTGCTGTAACTAGGTACAGCCTCAGTGATACCTGCATATAGGCACAGCCTCAATAAAAACTGTATCGAGGTACCATTTTAGTTAAGGATGCTTACTGTACATAGTGCAACAGTGTAATGTACATAAGCTATGTTTTTGTGCCAAGTAACAGAATTTCATATTTTGTATTTTTAACCACCGAGAAATTGAGTAAACACAGGTCATGGTTTACCTTTGATATTATAGTATATATTTATATTAATTAATCATATTTAACCTTTTATTTATCAGGGGTGCAGCTCGATATGAGGCAAGTATCTTCAAAATTATACAAACACACTTCTGATGTGTTTTCCAGAAAAAAAGATGACAGAAAAATATTTTTAACTGGAGGGTATGTCCCATAGTTGTAAAATATCATTTTTGGGTTAGGTTTTGCCTCGTCTATTTAGTTTCACCTCACCTTCAATTTGCCTCATATATTTAGTTTGCCTCACCATTTTTGTACTGGAGTACAGCAGTGCCTTTCTAAATGGATAACTGCTGGAAGGATTTGAAAGTGTTCACATTTGAAAGTGTTCATATTAAGAGGTGTTTACATACACACATGTAACTGTCTGCTAATATACGAGGGGTGATCAATCAGTAATAAAAAAGTATCCATTACTTATTGATCACCCCTCGTATGTTATATATTTATATCACCATGGTTGTTGTGTGATATATATATTGTAAATTGCCTTAATTTGGCATCCATTTAGTGATTAGCCTATTCGACATAATGATTGCCAATTTAAACCTCCATCCTTGTGTTACCATGGAGATTTGATTTGCCAAGAGGTTGCCATGGCAATGCATGTCAGTTAGCCTACCAGTTATTTCACTTACCAAATTAAATGGTGCCAATTTAACACAACTTGCATGTAGTTTGCATACATGCATGGGTTTCTTGACTTAAGGTATGATTTTCTTGTAATGATGCCCTGGGCATTTTAACGGATTATGACCAAATTCATTGAATTTTTCATGATAAACCCCTACTGCCTCATGGGTGTTGTGTAGTTTTGAAATAATGCCCATGGGCAATGTAGAGCATCATCATGAGAACTTTTGGTTATAAATGTAGTGTAGCTACAAGCACATGTGCCCCCCCCTCTACCTCTGCTTGATTACACACCTCACACATGGACATGTAGTTGGGGGGGGGTCACAAGGGCTTGTAGCTAGACTATTACAAATGCTACTGTAAAGAGATGTATTTTGATTTAGCATTTTCTTTGTTTTTATATTTATGTATGATTACAAGCATTTGTTATTTAAAGAATTTTATGACCATTATTAAGGGTAAGATGATATTTTGATATTTTTCATCAAAATAACAGATGTACATAAAATGATATTCTTTAAAGATCTGAGCTTAGTTTTAGTTACAGGTGACATTTGTAATTTAGCAAAAATATGACATTTTCAGTAGACCTGATCAAGTAGTGTGGTTGAGGACTATGTTATCTTGGGGGAAGATTTCAATATCTTAGACTAGGACTGTCAACATGAAAAAGTAAAAACTTACATCAATTAAAACTAGGAAAAATGATTACATAAAGAGATTTTATTAATTTAATGAAAATTAATATAAGTTATTATTTTATTATGGTTTAAGGTGCTTATAGGTGGTGATGCACAACAATGGAGATGTATAGACATAAGAGTCGATTTCTGCATCAATTGTAATGTTAATTAGGGATCAAAAAACCAATGGCTTAGAGCTTGCATCATTTCACTTAGATCCTTTTGAATAATTGGTCACAATTTGTTGGAGCATTCTCCTTAGGATTTTCCCTCAAGGGGATGCAAAATTTATTTTCCCAATTCAGACCAAAATTGGTCAAAATATGCACATTTTTCATGGATTTTCTAAGTGGGTGCCAATAGATTTTCAGGTGGGTGGAAGACCCTCAGGTGGGTCCTGCACCCACGTCCCACTTGCTATAATACTGAGGAGATCACTGTATATAGCTTTCTTCAATGAATATGTGATCGATTCCATACTGGTGTAATTGTAACTCTATCGCTGAGTAAGCTTAAGTTGCAAATTATACAGATGAAGTGCGATTTGCACAATCTACAATATTATGAGAAATTGACTCTAGAATTTGGAAGTCACCGGGTGGTTTATTGATAGTGAATAGTAATTTTTACAAATATCATGATTGTACATAAAAAGTATAAAAAGCAAAAGATAATTTGAGTAATTTTTAGTATTTATTTCATATTATATTGTACTTAATATTTTGTTTATTGTATTCATTGTACTTAATGTTCAATAGCTCATTATGGTATTGTACTTAATGTTCAATAACACCCGTTGGTTGTTACAATATTACAATAATATATTGTATTTAATATTCAAGAGACACTATGGTTTATTGTACTTATATTGATAACCTAAGTAAAATTGAATTGCTTTATTGTACTTACATTCCTCACATTTAAATTTTGACACAAATAATTGTTTGTTTGTTTGTTTGTTTGTTTCTACCAAATAGTAACAATTTAACAATGTTCCATCTCATACTTGATCCCCCAGGCTAGTTTCCAGCACTATTATTTAACATTGATACATGTACAAAGATTGTTCAATAAATATTAATTCAAATGCTCTCCTTTCAATGTTAAGAAAGAATTTTTCGCATGTTATGTGTACGAGGGTTGTCCCATAAGTCTTGAAATTTTTATTATAATTCAAAAATATTTCAATGAATTTGGCTGAAAATTGGTATGTATCAAGATCAATCAATTTTTCAATTTGCATTTGAAACAGAGTATGTACGAGAGTTGTACAATAAATACTTATAGTGGGGGGAATTTGCTGGAAAATATTTCAATTGGTGATACAAGCAAATTTAATGGCTTAATCTGTTATTTGTGTTATTAGGAAAAATTCCATCCCTGTGATCAATAAAACCGAACACTATTTCGAGAAAAATTCAAGATGGCCGCCATATAGGCATAATTTGGTACAAATAACACTCTAGATTCATATATAGAGATAGATATGGTTTAAAATAATATTGGAACAGGAGCAAAGCATGTTGTTTACATCTAGAAATACAGTCACATTCATTAATGATTTGAATTTGGACAAAATGATTTTATATAGGGATTCTACAAGGTTCTATTTTGGGAGGGCTCTTATTTTTCAACAACTGAAGTCTGTATTTGTAAGTCCTGACTTTTTACATCTCTTATTATGCTATTAGAAAAAATTCCATCCCTGTGATCTATAAATCGAACACTATTTCAAGAAAAATCCAAAATGGCGGCCATATATGCATAATTTGGTACAAATAACACTATAGATTCATATATAGAGATAAATGTGGTTTAAAAATAATACTGTTTCAGTAGTAAAGCATGTTGTTTACATCTAGAAATACAGACACATTCATTAATGATTTGAATTTGGACAAA